TCGTCGGGACGATGATCTACTGTACGGTTCATGCCTTGGGGGAGTTGGCCGTCACATTCCCAGTCTCGGGTGCTTTTGCTGCATACTCGACAAGATTTTTGGACCCTTCCTGGGGGTTTGCCATGGGTTCGCTCTACGCGTTGAACTGGCTTAGTAAGTAAAATCACCATCCTCTACTTTATTGGAATACTAACATTTCTTTTAGTTATTTTACCCTTGGAGCTTGTAGCGGCATCGATCACGGTCAGTTACTGGAAGTCGGACGTCAATAATGCTGCATGGGTTTCCATCTTCTACGTATTAATTCTCGCAATTAACATGTTTGGCGTAAAAGGCTACGGTGAAGCCGAATTCGTCTTCTCTATTATCAAGGTGATTGCTGTCATCGGTTTCATTTTCCTCGGGATTATTTTAAACTGTGGTGGTGGGCCCCAGGGTGGCTACATCGGGGGCACTTTCTGGCGGGATCCAGGTGCTTTCGCCAATGGCTTCAAGGGTGTCTGTTCCGTCTTTGTTACTGCTGCGTTCGCCTTTACCGGGACTGAGATGGTTGGGTTGGCTGCTGCAGAATCCGAAAATCCAAGAAAGTCTTTGCCTAAGGCGACAAAACAGGTTTTCTGGAGAATCACCTTGTTCTATATCGTTTCGTTGACACTTGTGGGTCTCTTGGTCAGATATGACGACGATCGCTTAATTGGTACTTCCTCTGTGGATGCCTCGGCCTCTCCGTTTGTGATTGCCATTAACAACGGTGGAATCAAGGGGTTGCCTTCAGTGATGAACGTGGTTATTCTTATTGCGGTGCTTTCTGTTGGTAACTCTGCCGTTTACGGCTGTTCTCGTACCTTAGCTTCCCTCGCAGCCCAAGGATTATTGCCACACTTCCTTGCCTATATTGACAGAAAGGGCCGCCCATTGGCAGGAATTGCCATGTCAGCGTTGTTTGGGTTGTTGTGCTTTGTCTCCGCTTCTGACAAGCAGGGTGAGGTTTTTGCGTGGTTGATGGCGCTTGTTGGTTTGTCATCGTGCTTTACCTGGGGTTCTATCTGTCTCTGTCATATCAGATTCAGACAGGCTTTGACTTTCTATGGAAGAGACACCAGCGAGTTGGCCTTTACCTCCCAGGCGACTGTTTACGGCTCCTGGTGGGGCTTCATCATGAACATCTTGATTATGATTGCACAGTTCTGGATTGCGCTCTTTCCATTGCACGATAATCCTGATCCGGCCGTCTTCTTCAAGAACTACTTGGCCTTCCCGATTGTGATTGCAATGTATGTCGGTCACAAAATTTACCTGAAGAACTGGATTATGTACGTAAAACTCCCACAGATTGATATTGACTCTGGGAGAAGAGACTTGGATTTGGACAAGGTGAAGCAAGAGTTGGCAGAAGAGAGACTAGAGCTCGCTCTGAAGCCATTCTACTACAGGGTATACAAGTTCTGGTGTTAGATATATTGTCTTTTTTTTTTGGTTCAAAGCTGGTCTTACGAACGTATACTCAATATACCGAAACTCCTTACGATATCAGAAGTCTAGGTACTCCAAACGTGGCTAGATATCCGTAATGCTACCCTTTGAAGTTATATCCATATACGGAACTTATATCGATAAACACGTTTAAAATGGTATTAAACCAACGTTAAGGTTAGATTTCTTCTCTCCTGAAAGATTTTATTCATATTATACGCTTATGTTTCTATTGCTACCGGCTCCTCTTCTGAATTCAGGCCCCATTGACATAAACAATCAGCATTGAGAGTGCCTCCTTTTTTTTGGATCTAACCATATCAATTGGAGTAGAAAAGGGTTTCTAGTATCTAGGTGAATTTTCTACGCAAATAGTGGGGAAAGTGCAGAGATGATACACTTGCACTAGGACATCTGTCAACCTCTGAATACAAACTATATTTACCCAACGTTAATCATTTTGCCAGTAGAACTTAGTCGCCATAAGCTCTACTGTAAAAATTGTTCAGCTGCCTCTGACGTTCGTCCTTGATCTGAAGACTTCTTCCCACCCATTGGTAAACTCCTCGAATCCCATGTGCTCAAGACTACCCATACTATCATTCATCGGTATCCTTAGCTACTTAAAAACCCGGTTCTTGTTCACCTTCTCCTCGACGGCAGCCCACTCTTCTTCCTCCATTATCTCCCTGTCTACAAGGCCGTTGACAAACATGAACTGAAAAGATTGCCCACCGACTCGCGAAAGGGATAACAAACAGTAGTACAACTGTAACAACAAGCCATCCTTCAACGTCTTCGCATCAGTGGTGGATCCGGAGCTATGTCCTGGGGCAGGGCTGGCGACAAGCATCACGGGCAATTCGGCGACAAGGATATGGAGTAAAGCGGTCAACACAGTCTGTAGAAAGTTGTGGACGTAGACAGAGTCGTCAGAGTTGGGGAATATACCTTGGTACGTGGCAATGGTGGAGTATCCGTACTCTCTGACAATTTCAATCGACCGCTTCAAGTACTTTTCCAAGTTCTGGATGGTTTTGGTCTTAAGAAGTGGTTGTAAGTACGAGAACTCCTTCATGATAAAGTTGATCCTAGCGTTGAAATATATCACCTTGAGCTCGTTGTGGGTGGCAGAGTTCAGGAACGGTTGGAGCTTCGCAAGAATACCCATTGTTTTGACCAACGACGACTGCTTCAAGTCGTTGCTCAAGAGATTGAGCAACCCTAGCATCATCTCGTTCAACTCAAGCGCAACCTGGCGCTGGATCTTGTGCAAAATACTGATATGGCTGTTTCGGGCCTCGGAAGACGAGAAGCGGATAAGGAGCCGCTTGATGAAGAGGTTGATTTCCAAAGCTTCCAGGTAGTTTCCCTGTTTGATACAGATCTTGATAAGGGATGGTAGTTCAAGAAGATCTGTGAGCAACGGAAGGTTGTTGAGGATGTTGATTGTGGAATCCACATTCATGAGCTTAGACTCTGGCACCGGCTGCTTCCACTTCTGCGACTTTACTGCCTTTATCTCGGTTTGGAGAGTGCCCATTTTGTTGTCAAACTTCGTTTGGAAACCCTCATAGAACGTGAAAAGGTTCACCGATGATTCCACGATTGCCAGCGACTTCGACACGGTGCACTCCTTCAACCTGGCCTCTAGCGAGCGCTGCTTCGACGAAAGCTCCGCGATTTCTTCGACTATCGTTTTGTGTGTCTCCTGAGTAGTTCCCGTGTCTGACATTGATGGCGGGAGCGAAGAAAGGAGGAGATCGCTCAGACTACTAAATAAGGTGTCGAGGTAGACCACACAGTCTGCATGCACCGCAGGGTCCGCGAGGAGCGACGCCATCTCGGGACTCATATCCTCGGATAATGTCTCAAGTAAGAGATCTAAGCTGTTTGACGGCATTGAGTGGGGGTCGGATCGATACAAGAGAGAAACCAGTACTAGTTGGCGGTAGTGGTTGGTGTTGGCAACGGTGAAATTTACGTGTACGTATCCGGCACCGAGGCTGGAGCACAACTTATTGACGGGGGAGATAGGATGATATGAGTATTGTCGATTCCGCTTAAATCCTTCGACTTGCTCAAGTTTGTCATACTCTTGTTTCTAAGTGAATGAAAAGTTTAGATGGATAGACGATGGATGTTCTTTCTTTAAATTGGGGCTTACGGAAGATAGGCAGAGGAGTTACCGTGTGTAGCCAGCACCAGCGTACACCCTGCATACAGATGCTGGACGGGCTGTATACGTTCAAAGTCGAAGAATCATGTGGAGTTAGCTTCATGAGCAAGCTCATAACAATGAGTACGAACTTGGGCATTATACTAACTTGCGTATACCCAGTTACATCACTGTTTCCTCGCTTTAATATTTAAAACGTCTGTCTACCAAAATATGAGATGCACCGGAACTATCTCAGACAACTTGTGGATTTATTCGACTGCACCTGCCATAATGCCTGGTGACCAGTTCTGTAGGTACACCCAGTAGCGCTGCATTGGTCACTACCCTTATACGAAGCTGCCTTACCTGGCACCAAGCATACCAAACTGGTCTGATTTCTCCACCACATGCCTGGATCGACACGAGGTGATTTCCGGTGCGTTTTTTCTATCCGAATGGATCCTTACGTATATTGGCCATCAAGGATACGTGTGCTGATTATCATTCACCTTTATCCTGCTAGTTCGTTCTTCACAGCGGTGCAGCAGTATTATTCTTCGTAGAATTTACTCTTTGTCACACCCAACTGTCATCCTCAATTGTGAGGTAGGAGAACGCTGTTCTGGGGGGATCAATCCACAGATGTAGGGTCGAATTCGCGGCTAGCCCACCATGCCACATACCAGAAATGGTACACGAGCCCTCCCAAAATATCTAAAAATATAAACCACCGAGATGCCCTCGGTTTGTAAGTAATCAAACTTGAAAGTTAAGAAATAATAAAACTCCATTGCTTGGTTTGTGGAGTACGCTGCTCCGGTACATGAGAAACATCGTTAGCAGCCCTTAGCCACGGACAGATGGAACTGTATCATCTAATCTTTCCTGCATAGTGCGCCACCCATTCACGTGACTCCAACCTTCGGCCGCAAACGTTCCACAGGCTTCGACGAGAGTCCCGGAATTTTTCACCCACTAGCCGCCGGCCTATTTCAGAAGGTTTCGCAGTTGCGAGTTTCCGCTTTTGCTTCTTTCCCCAGTTATTACTACGCATAATGTTGAGATTATCTCGCCCTACTGTTAAGAAGACCGCTGTTGCCTTGACCCGTTCTTACGCTCACAAAGAGTTGAAGTTCGGTGTCGAGGGTCGTGCCGCCCTTTTGCGCGGTGTGGAAACCTTGGCCGATGCTGTCTCCGTTACCTTGGGTCCTAAAGGCCGTAACGTGTTGATTGAACAGCCATTCGGTGCCCCAAAGATCACCAAGGATGGTGTTACCGTTGCCAAGTCCATTGTCCTCAAGGACAAGTTCGAGAACCTTGGTGCCAAGCTCTTGCAGGAGGTTGCCTCCAAGACCAACGAGTCTGCCGGTGACGGTACCACCTCTGCCACTGTTTTAGGTAGATCCATCTTTACTGAATCTGTTAAGAACGTTGCTGCCGGTTGCAACCCGATGGACTTGAGAAGAGGCTCCCAAGCCGCCGTGGAAGCTGTGGTTGCTTTCTTGGAAAAGAACAAGAAGTTGATCACCACCACCGAAGAAATCGCTCAGGTTGCCACCATTTCTGCCAACGGTGACACCCACATCGGTGCCTTGTTGGCGTCTGCTATGGAAAAGGTCGGTAAGGAGGGTGTCATCACCGTCAGAGAAGGTAAGACCTTGGAAGACGAATTGGAGGTCACCGAGGGTATGAGATTCGACAGAGGTTTCATCTCCCCATACTTCATCACCGACACCAAGTCCGGCAAGGTTGAGTTTGAAAACCCGTTGATTATGTTATCCGAGAAGAAGATCTCCTCCATCCAGGACATTCTCCCATCCTTGGAAATCTCCAACAAGTTGAGACGTCCATTGTTGATTGTTGCTGAGGATATCGACGGTGAAGCCTTAGCTGCCTGCATCTTGAACAAGTTGAGAGGCCAGGTCCAGGTCTGTGCCGTCAAGGCCCCAGGGTTTGGTGACAACAGAAAGAACATCTTGGGTGATGTCGCCATCCTTTCCGGTGGTACTGTCTTCACCGAGGAGTTGGATATCAAGCCAGAAAATGCTACCGTTGAACTTTTGGGTTCCTGTGGCTCCATCACCATCACCAAGGAAGACACCGTCATCTTGAACGGTGAAGGCTCCAAGGAGAACATTGTCGCCCGTTGTGACCAGATCAGGGCCTCCGTCGAAGACCTCGTCACCTCTGAATACGAAAAGGAAAAGTTGCAGGAGAGATTGGCCAAGCTCTCCGGTGGTGTTGCCGTCATCCGTGTCGGTGGTGCCTCTGAGGTGGAGGTTGGCGAAAAGAAGGACCGTTACGACGATGCCTTGAACGCCACTAGGGCCGCCGTCCAGGAGGGTATCTTGCCAGGTGGTGGTACCGCCTTGATCAAGGCCTCTCTTGCTTTGGATTCTGTTGCTACCGAGAACTTTGACCAGAAGTTGGGTGTCGACATCATCAGATCCGCCATCACCAAGCCAGCCCGCAAGATTGTCGAAAACGCTGGTGGTGAGGGTGCCGTTGTTGTCGGTAAGCTCATGGACCAGTATGGTGCAGACTTCAACATGGGTTACAACTCTGCCAAGGGTGAGTACACAGACATGATTGCTGCTGGTATCATCGATCCATTCAAGGTTGTTAGAAACGGTTTGGTCGATGCCTCCGGTGTTGCCTCTTTGTTGGCAACCACCGAGTGTGCCATCGTCGATGCTCCTGAGCCAGCCAGCGCTGGTCCAGCCATGCCTCCAATGGGTGGTATGCCAGGTATGGGCGGGTTCTAAGCCGTTGAAGAACCAATATTTTCGTTTTGACTGCGCTCTTTTTTTACCCGTCCGGCATGCCGGCTGAGGTTGTTTCCTTCGTCAAATGATTGTATATACGTTAATTAAGGAAACTGAAAAAACGCGTAGACTGCAAAATTAGCAATGGGCTTTAGTGAGGCTGGAGGAGCCATCGTCAATTTTGCGAACGAAAGGCGCAGATATATTTCTACACCACTTTTTTTTTTTTGATATATAACAAATACATGAATTATACGCCACCCCTGAGGTGGAAAGAAAACAAAAACATAAAATCAAGACATACAGCAAGCGTCTCAAGCAGCACGGTATAGGAGAGGTGCCTGGCAATAATATACATATACAATACAGGAACTGAAATCCGCTGAAAGGGTCAGCACATTGCCTACTTCTTCGTCTTGAGCTTTTCCACCTTCAACAACAAAGCCTTGTTGATGTGCGGCAAGACACCACCATAGGCGATGGTGGCCTTGATCAAGGTGTCCAATTCCTCGTCACCTCTGATTGCCAACTGCAAGTGTCTTGGGGTGATTCTCTTGACCTTCAAGTCCTTGGCGGCGTTACCAGCCAACTCCAAGACTTCGGCGGTCAAGTATTCGAGCACCGCAGTAAGATAGATGGCAGCCTTACCCGCCACTCTAATCTTGTGCTGCGAGTTCTTTCTCAAGAAACGCTTGATTCTCCCGACAGGGAACTGCAACCCGGCACGGGCACTGTGCGATTGCGACTTGAAACCGTTGCTGTCCTTTGGGCCACTCTTGCCCTTACCACCTTTGCCGCCGTGAACCTTGCCTGACATGTCGTGTTTTGAGTGCGTGTTTATGTGAATGCGCTAAGCTACTCTAAAAAAATGGCAATTAGAATTGTAATTGCTTGGGGGATAATGACTGATGGTAGGCGATGTGTTTGTCTTGCTTGGTTTGTTTTGTTTTGACCCGAGAATTGTTGTTTTGATTTTGTTTTTCGTGGATCGAATCGCGGGTTCCGGTTTGTTTCGGGGGATTTCCCAGATTTAGATTTCGCCGCTACCGCGTGACCGTGAGCCGGGTAACAGTTATGATTGCCTTATTGGGAAGGAAGTATTGACCCAATATGGTCGCCAGTGAGTGGCTACCTGACAGATTCCATAGGTTGCGGAACCTGGGCTGAGGGGGGTGATTTAAAAGTAAAAGAATAAATGGCTTTTAGGTCCTACATAATAAACTGAACCACATTGGTTTATTTCGAGTGATAATAAATCCATGGATTATGTGAGGAACCATCAAGGGACCCTCTCCTACACCTCACATCCCGTCAAGCCTATATCTCGCACACTCTACATGGTTCTGAAATGCATTCTACTGCCATTTATGGCTATCTATGTATAAGGTCCCGCTTGATGGGATATAAAATTCTGACTATTTTGCTTCTGTAACCAATGACTCTGACGCACCGCTTTGCTGGGGAGCACTCTTCAATACCACCTTCTCTAGAAACTCGGACTCGGCCGGGCCCCTCTTCCCCTTCAGCATCTCTGCCAACTTTTCTTCGTCGTACTTCCTGTGGTCGTTGTTCCCGTGTTCATCCAATCTCAACACGGCCGGCCTCATGCCCTGGGGCGGTCTGTAATCGTCAAGCTTGACGTTATACTCCACCAACTTCTTCTTGATGTACTCAATTTCGTCCTGTAGTGTGGCAATATCGTCTGCCACGGCCTCGCGTCTGCCTGCCTCCTTATTGCGCGAGCGCATTGCCTCAAAGAGGATCAATCCACCAGCGACAGAGCTACATGGGGTTAGTATAACTCAACGAAAGCACAAGAAGTACTCACAAAATGAAGGTTTCGGAAATGAAATTGGCTCCGTTTTCGATAGCCCTGGTGTCGTTCAACGGTCTGACCTTGACGTTCTTATCCCCCAACAAATTCATTCGAAGCTGGACGTCTGTTTTGTGTAATCTCTGAGCGATTTTAATGCAAGTTGTTCTGAAGAATTCATGTTCCTTGGCCTGTTGTTTCATGACATTCTAGGAATTATGTTAGACCGGTCTGGTTAAAAAGTGGAAGAATCGTACGTACAGCCACCGGTTTTGCCACCGTCCTGACAAGCAATGCCGTAAACTTCAAGGCGAGTCCACTCATATTTTGAGCTTAGGGTTTGATGAGGTTTGACTGGAACTGTAAGCTAATTGCTTGTTTAGATCCCCGGTAAATAAACCCAGTTCGTTGTGAGTCTTGTGATGGCCAAACTCCACCAGCGTGTGACTCCTGCACAGATCCGATGGACTTGTAGATTTTGCTACGTACGTCACTTGGACTAGCAGAAGCTAGGTGCTTATCACACCGGACAACAAACAAATTGACACGTTATCCCATTCTCCACAACGTCATATCCTGATATACGAATATCCGGGACAGATATTCTATACATGCAAAGGCTTGGTACTTAGCCCAGCAAACATCAATCTCTATAGTGGCAATCAGTTAGCCTTGCACCCGTGGTTCTGCCTGTCTGATCTCTTGCCATTTGATCTACCCCTTTAAAGCTGCCTCTTTCAGACCAGCCAGCCCCATCCTCCTTCTGCGAACTGACCATCTGTCAAATATGGACATTTTAACAAACCGTCACTTCTTCGCGTACTCTGGCGTTTCCACGGCCTTGGTCGTGGGAAAGGTGCTCTTCACCTTTTCGGCGCACCCCACGTTTTTCTCCGCCTGCATAGCCCTCTCTGAGGGTCTGACGCCAATTGTCATTGGTAATTGGCTCCTTGTGTGTGGGCTCTCGCTAGCGATTGTGACGCAAAAGTTTTTCTTTGGCGAGTTGCGCTTGCTCGAGCGTGAACACGTCGCAGAGCGCGCCTGGCTGACTATCATCTCCTCGCTTGTCGCCTTAGCAATGTTCAGACACGAGCACATGATGCTTTTGTGCGGATTGTCACTTTTGCACCTCTTTTTGGTCGTGTTCCACTGGATCGTGGACGACCGCATTGACTTTCTCTTTCAGCGCGCCACTGCGCTCGGCGACGTGTTGAAGACCAGAGTCGCGCTTGCCGCCCTCGTGTTGATGGTGAGCGATTGGCAGATCTCCATGTTCCTCCTCAACTACTCGTTCCAACACTCGCCGGATATTTGCGTGGTGTTCGGATTCCAGGTGTTTCTCCTCTTCTTGACCATGTCTGAGCTCACCTTGAAATCGGTATGCAACTTGATCGAGATTGTGTATCTTGACAAGCATCCTGACGAGGAGGTGTGGGAACTGAGATCGGTCTACGTAAAGGTTATCGGTATCATCCACTCGTTCTTCAAGCTCGTGATTAACGCGTTGCTCTGCTACATCTTCTATGGGCCCTCCCGCATGCCTATACACTTGGGGATGGACATGTTTCATTCTGTCAAGACGTTTATCACGCAGTGCAAGGACTTCTTGGCCTACCTCCGCACGGCTAGCGAGTTGGATGGGATGTTGCCTGACGCCACGATGGAGCAGTTGGCCGATGACAACTTGTGTATTATCTGCCGTGAGGATATGACGACTGAGGGGATCCAACGAGGTACCCGTAATGTTCCGAAGGTGTTGCCTTGTGGGCACATCATCCACATGGGCTGCTTGAAGGGCTGGATGGAGCGGTCACAGGTGTGTCCGATGTGCAGGCAGCCGGTTAAGAGGACAGGCGCTCCAGCGGTTCCCCAGGAGAGAGATGAGCCAGCGGCTCCTGAACAGAGAGATGAGCCAGGCAACGCCGAAGAGGCTGTTGCACCTCAACACTTTGAGACTCCGCCGGTGCTCACCCCTCAGATCCTCCTGGGTGCTGGATCCAGTCATGAAACCTTCAATTCTGACACCAACCCGCACTCCATCACACTCCCTCTTCAGTCGGCCGTCATCCCTCGGGACTGGGCCATCATTCCGTTGACCCAGACTGCCCCAATGACGTACAACCTTCATCTCACACCCACCGAAACTGCACAGTTGTCGATACAGCGTCAGAGCGTGGCTGTGGAGCCGGCCTCGCTTATCAAAATACACGGTGATTTCTCCAGTGAAAGGGAGTCGGAGTTGACAGATGCCAGCGGTACTGAGATAGATCTGGCCCCACCGACTGCTCAGGAGCAGGCTCGCCAGCTCTCACGTGATATTGACACTATGCGCTCCAACTTGGACGGCTTAATGAACCAGTTAAGCGAGCTCAACGCGAAGCTAGAGTTACCGCGCGCTAGTGACTAAGAGTCGACATATTAATATCTGGAAGGAATATAAAATCCATGTGTAACTATGGCTTTTAATACAAAGGTGATAGCTTGGTGATACGTAGAATGAGAATGATATCCCCTCTCCGATCCCTGTATAAGGCGTAGCTCATAAGACTGGCAGAATTATCTAATAAAGGAACAGCCATGGCCAAAGGGTGAAACAGGAAGACGATCATAGAGTTAGATATCCTCGCTACTTTACCGAAAAGGTGTGCTAGCTGGCTATACGATACATTTCTAACGTCTTTAGCATAGTTAAAGGCTCAATTTACAGTTTGAGTTAACATTCGTCAAAGTCCTCTCCGAAAATTCCACGCATTATCGGTCTCTCAAATCGTGGCCTCAGTTTTTGGAGAGCCATCCTCCCCCTACATCGCAAAAGTTCTCTAAGTCGTATTAGGTGACATAAGATAAATGACAGTAGTATACAAATGCTGGGGAGATCAACACTGACACGATGCGGCATCGACGGGGACGTCGGCAGAAATGTCAATGTTCTCCGCCTCCTCCTCCTTCTTGTTGGCACTCTCAAAGTCTGGTAGGGCCTGTGCAATCTTCTTGAACAATGGTTTGACGTTGTGGCCGGCCTTGGTACTGGTTTCGATAAACACAGAGGCACCCATCAATTTGGCGCGCTTCTCCCCGTCTTCCTGTGATACCTGTCTCTTGTCAATCAAGTCGGACTTGTTCCCGACAATAACGATAATTACATCCTCACCTCTCTCGACCTTAACGTCATCGATCCACTTCTCCACCATCTCAAACGACTTCTGGGACGTGATGTCGTACACGATCACGGCGACGTGCGAGTCGCGGATGTAAGACGGGATCAACGATCTGAATCGCTCCTGGCCCGCGGTATCCCACAACTGCAACCGGACCGTTTTGTCGTCCAAATACATCGTCTTGGACAAGAAGTCGATTCCAATCGTGGCGGCGTATTGGTCCTCAAATGTGTCGTACATGAATCTGGTGATAAGCGAGGTCTTACCCACGCCTTGGTCTCCGAGAAACACAATCTTGTATTTCCGCAACATTCCGTTGGCCTTATCTGTGCTCATGGTGTGTGATGGGTATATGACAATAGCCGATATAGCAGAGTTAATACGTGTACTTGTATATAACTATCATCTAAGCTGTCAGGTGTGACTGCGCAGTAAATCGCGACGTTAAGCAACACGAGGCAGTAGTGTCTGGAACGCACACTACTAAATGAGCGGTCTAGGCCTATTGGGGAGTGGGGAGTGATAGCGAGTGCTTAAGAGTGGAAACATAATTTTTATACGAATGAGATTTTAATATCGATTTTTCTTTTCGCATAGTACATAGTATAAGCATCTGAAATAGTGCTAAGTTATTGTAAAGACGTGCGGAAGATAGAAGAAAGACAGGGGACTGTGCAGAGCTTACAGAAAACATAGGCAGTCGTCAAGTGAGACTCTTTCCTACATCTGGTGAAATCCTTTTGAAGCTAAATTGATCATCAGTACTTTACAGTTCTGTACCAAGTATTTATATAATACTGTAAATTGACTTATACTGAGTCGAGCTGCCTGCGTCGGTTCTGGAAGGGAGGCTGTTTGTGCGCATATGGTATTCATTCCAAAGCTCCTTTTACATGCAAGCTATGGATGGATGTGGTATAAAAAGGATATATAGGCATAGATAAGCTATTGGAGTAAAAATATTTTTATCCCCTGACATGAAAAAAATCAAAAGATGAGAGAGTCGGGGAATCTGTAGCTACTGAGTCTTCTTAACAACCTTGTCGTCGCCTGGCTGAGCGGCGAAAACATTGGACTCTGGGTCGTGTCTGTCCTTTCTTGGGCCGTGGAACCACTTCTTAAAGTTCAAGATAGATTTCAAACTCCAGACCTTGACCCTCATGATATAGTAGCAACCCAACATGGCAACAAAGTTGAAGATGATGTAAGCAAACATGAAACCAAAGTTTCTCCATCTCTGGGACCACTTGATGTTGACAAGAGCCATTGGTTCGGCCTGGGTGGTGTATGGACAATATTCACATAAGCTAGTGGCATCTGGGTTGCCAACATAACCACCGGAGGTGTTGGTATAGTGACCCAAGTATTCGCCGCAAGTCTGACCGACTGGGGGGCTCACGATGGAGTATTCGTAAGATTTGCAAATCAATTCTCTCCCGTCGACCAAAGGGGAAACAAGAGACTGGACAAAGTACGTGAATGGAGAGGCCTTGTAAAAAAAAGTCCAGAAGCCTGGCATCAAGTCGTACGGCTGAAGGATCCCACAGAACAACATCATGGCGGCGAAAAGGTTGGAGTTGATCATAGCGGCAGATGGAACGTCCGGGGAGAGGTATAAAATCCACAACCCGTAAGAAACGTAGTAGATTGGGAACATGACCACGAAAATCAAGAAGAAGTAGCCGGCATGCTCTGGAGTGGCCGAGAACCCAGCTGGGAAGTAAAAACAGACGAAACAAAAGAATTGACAAGACATACACCAAATGATCTCCCAGGCTGTCTGAGACAATAACAAGGCAGACCAGTGGAACGTATTGGAGGCAGATTCCCTTACTTCAAACAACTCTCTGGAATCATAGGCGTAGACATGAATCTGGTTAATCAAGGCCAAGGAGATAATCATCAACATATAAACTGCCAATAAACCAAATTGGGAGGCAGCAAGAGAGTGATTGGCCTTAACAAAAGAGAAACCGATAAAAAGGGCACAGATAACAGATTCGAAGCACTTAGCTCGGATGTAGACCGGAGATCTCCAGAACTGAAGCCTGGTTCTGTTGAAGACGACCGAAATTTGGTTTATGTAAGAGGTGGCAAACTTGGACTTTAAATCTTCGAGATTTTGCGAAACGGGCTTCTGTGGCAAATCACGGTGAAGTTGGTCGATGACAGCACGTTCATGGGCACATTCCAGAGACTCGTTCCAAAGGTCACCCCAGTCAGAAGCCAACTTGGTGTGAGCCGTAGCACCGGCACCGATACAGTTCAAAATGTACTCCGCAGGGTTCTCAGATACACCACACTTGATCCCAGACTGTCTTTCAAAGTAGGTCAACATGGTCTCAGAGTTCGAGCCAATATCGCCAAAGTAGACAGTTCTACCACCCTTCTTCAACAACAATAATTTGTCGAAAACCTCAAACAAAGTGGCAGACGGTTGGTGGATGGTACACAAGATAGCCTGGCCGGAATCAGACAAGGCACGCAAGAACTGAATGATGGACCAGGCGGATTGGGAATCCAACCCAGAGGTTGGCTCATCCAAGAATAACAACAACGAAGGCTTGGCTACCAACTCGACGGCGATGGACAATTTTTTACGCTGTTCGACGTTCAACCCCCGGCCAACCTTACCGATGATGGCTTCACCATAGTTCTGCATGCCCAACAAGGAGATGATCTTCTCGACGTACTCGTTTTTCTCGGCTCTGGAAACAGTTTCAGGCTGACGCAAGTAAGCGGCGAACCGCAACGACTCTCTGACAGAGTATTCGGCCAAATGCAAGTCCTGCTGCTGGACGTAACCGGTTCTCCTCTGGAAAGAGGCATCGACAGGATGACCGTTCACAAGCATCTCACCGGTAATGGTACCAAAGTCGATTCTCTGAGACAAGACGTTAAGCAAGGTGGTCTTACCAGCACCAGACTCACCCATTAAGGCGGTCATGGTGCCAGGCTTGACATAACCCTGGACCTTGGAAAGCAATTGCCTTTGTGCACCGTTGTATGGAATAATGTAGTCCAAATTTTGCCACGAAAAGACATCTCTCTCGGCGATAACCTTTTCCAAGTCAACACCAGGACCATTAAGAGCCTCCATCATCTCGTCTCTGGAAGCAACCTTGGCATCGGCGGTTTCAGAGTCGCCGTCTGGCAAATAACCTCTCTTGTACAACAACATGTCACCACCTCCTTCAACGGACTTGACAAACTCAGATAATCCGATATTTATTATGATGAAGCCGGCGGTCCAAGCAATATTGATTCCGAAGTTTCTCCATGCATGACTGTAAGAGAAGTTGTACGAAGCCTTGATGTAAGCGTCGCCGGAAACGTATAACTCACCCATGATGGAACCAGCAGTGGTACAGACCTGGTTGGTGATGCCGACGTTTTCGTAACCCTCGCCGGTTGGAATCAAAGAAGCACACCTCATAATCCTACCGTGCATCTCGGTAGCAATCAACGATTCGAAGCCATATCTCATCGGGTTTATCCAGTTAACCCACTTAGCCCAGTGATGCATAGATGGCAATGGGATAATGAAACCAACATAGACACACAACATCAAGACCCACAAACCGGCAATGGCGTGAGCGGTGCCACCGTCACGGGTGACAGAAGCAACCACCTTGAAGATGAACGACATGCACTGCTGAATGGTAAACAAAAACAAAAAGAACATGAAAAAGGCCCCGGCTTCATGCTTCAACTTCAGCATCCAGTAGGTGGTCAATGCAAAGATAACAATTGCAACAAACTTTACGGGGATTTCGGTGATAATTTCCTGCAATGCCTCGGCAGACTGATGGTACATGGAATAGGATTTTTGCTTTAAGATGATAGGACGGTGGGCAAAAGAATGGGATATTTCCGCCAACGAGGTGACGGCACAGAAAAGCAAACAAAAAAACACAATACCGGCTCGGGGGAAGGCACCGGTGGTGTCTTTTGGAATATTCCAGAACAAGGAACCGACAACCAACCCCTCAATGATAAACGAAGAGATATAGATCGTCTGGTAGGTCATCTCACCCTTGGTTCTTTGGAAACCTCTGGTCATCAAAGCAGACACCTGATCGAAGTAAGAGGCGACAAACCGGGATTTTGTTCTGGACATGGCCTGCTTTCTCTGCATCTTGACGTTGTGCAATCTGGCCCTGGTTTCATCGGGTGGATGGGCACTAACATAGTTATCGTATTCAGCGAGGCAGGCTTGGTACTCTGGAGAGTTCAACCAGTAATGTTCAAATTCTTGAGCAGTGGTTGGTATTCTACCCTCGTAACCTGGCTTGACAGTGCGGCCATTAGGATCGGTGATAGAGGTCAAGAACTCGGGATCAGTCATTCTGGGAGGCTTGTACCAACCCATGTTCTCGAAGTAGGCTCTAGCGGTAGAGGCTGGGCCAAAGTAGATCTGTCTGCCCAAGTACAAGACGGTTACCTTGTCAAACAATTCGTAAATATTTTGGCCGGCTTGATAGATGGCGACAAAGGAGGAATTCTGTAGCATGTTGGTGGCGGTCCTAATGGCCTGGGTGAATTCCAAGGCAGTGGAGGCATCCAAACCTCTGGTGGCGTTGTCCCAAGCGTAAATGGATCCGTTGCAAGCCAAAGCTTCGACAATGGATACTCTCTTTCTCTCACCACCGGAGACACCTCTGACAAAATCGTTACCCACGTGAGTATTGTAGGTATGTCTCAAACCGAACACGGTACACCACAAGTCTCTCATGATGGAAACGTACTGCTTCTTCGAAATCCCATCAATACGTCTGTTTGGAGTTTTCAACTTTAACGCAAAGTCGATAGTGTTTTTGACGGTGACCAATGGAAAATGGTTGTCCAATTCCGGGTTATAAATGACGTAACCCTTGTAGTCACGCATCATTTCCGGCTGGTCAAGGCCATCGTACTGGTACTCACCATAAACTGAAACCAACTCCGAAGTTTCACCGGTAAGACACTTCAACAACGTGGAACACCCAGAGCCAGGTCTGCCGACGACAAAACACATCTCGCCAGCCTCAACGGTACCAGTAAAGTTTTCAATAATGTTTCTAAGCGGCCTGGTATCCTTTTTGAACCACTTGACTGGCCAATTGATAATGTCTCTGACCATTTCTTCAACGGACGGACCGTACGCGGCAGACACATCCACGCCCACAGCGGTAAGGTTCTTGAAAGCCAAGCCCGCGGCACCGGATTCGATCCCCTGCTCCCGGGACTTGACACTCAAGTAGTCAAGCAAGAGCTGCAAGTCGAAGTTGTCTTCGTTAACGGTAAACTCATTCATCTGAGCCTTAGTGCGGCGTGATAAGGTTCTAGCTAACGACTGGATCTTCTCAATTCCCTGTGCGTTAGTCAATATATGGGCCAACTGTTCTGAGTAGATACCCTCCTGGTCATTGTTTTCAATGTCATTGACGTTGGACCGTCTGGAGATGTATCTTTCGGCATAGCCGGAATAATGCTGTTGTGGACTGTTGGACGAGCCAGTATCTCCATATTTTGGTTGATCGGACGAAATAGAATGCTGATCCGCCATAATGTAGAAAGAATTAACTAATTAAGTACAATTTCGATGAGGTTATTGAATATGAAAAATAAAGAATAATAAAACTGGTATAAGATTTGAGGAATCCAGGTTAATATATACTATTTTTTTCACGAGCATGAATGAGCCCACTTTATTCTTGTGACTTTGAACCTTCTGTTGCAAAATTACCCCAAAAGAGAAGTGTTTAAGGGACAATGGCCGTCCTGATACTCGTAGATATACATGCGTGATTTTATTTTAGTAGATTTACTGTGTGGAAATTCGGCCGGTATGCGTTTTTTGTGCAGGTTCGGACCTTTGCGGTCTTTCTGAAATCTATCAACTTCCAAGCCGGGGTTCTGAGTAAGCCAGTCCATCCGCATGCCTTATTATTTGGTCCGCGAAAAGCCGGACCAGTCTAACTTATGTGTAGCCTAAAGTTTTATGTGAGGGAATCTCACCGCCAATATTGTATGCAATTACGTAAGTGCTGAGTAATAAGGTGCTGAGTAATAAAGCATTTGTAGACCAGATGGCTAGCCGTCTCTTCCTGCGAAGACGCCATATTTGATATACCGCCAACTTTGATGCCGATACAGCCTGGAAGTCACATAGTTGGGGGTGAAAATAGCTGTAAAATGAAAAAGACCGTTAATTTATTTTTACTGGTAAATTATGAAAAATATTGGTTAAATACGGATAGGCACACTCCACTTATCCAGCTTGTCTTGAGCGTTTTTGCCTGCATCTGAACGTATTAGGCGCTCTCTCATGACAAAGGGGTTTCCTTTGAATCAGAGTTTAGAATTAAGGAGTAGGTAAACTTTAGGCCCCGGAAAGAGATCTTTGTGTGTGTGCGTACTATCAAACTATACTGGTATAAGATTGAAAACTTAAGAACAGGTAGTTAGATTCAGTAATAATAGCCGTATATTCTCACTTCATAAATCAATTGCGAATTTGTAACGTAACTCTTACGCACGGTTGTTGATGCGATTGTTCAACATCAAAAGGGACCTCCGGGCTAGCCCAAAAAAGAACTATCTATATATATATATATATATATATATATATATATTAGGGGAAGGTACACGGATTTATGCAGTTGTATTTGAATCACGTACAGCTGTTTTGACCGACGTACCACACCGATACCGTAGATATAACTATTTTTTAGTCGAAACCTAATGATTTAGTCCATACGCACATACCCGGTATTACAACGTACTTAATGCCACCTACCTGCCACTGGTTTTTTTTAGGTTTTCGCTTGGCCAGTTATCTGAAAATGGCATTTGAAAGTAATAAATAGTAATATATAGGTTTTCTCATATATTATATAATTTTCTTTCCTGTATTTTTGCCTCTCTGAAAGCCCTCTAAAAGATAGGAATTCCCTAAATACCTTCCGAAGTCTAGCCCTGGTTTAAAATATACTGCTTTCTATACCCCAAGAGCTATGTCAGCTTATCTATATTGCCCTCAGTGCACTGTCTTGTATACCGTATTCTGAATGGTTCGTGCATTTACAACATCACTAAGAGGAAGATATGCATATCAGAAATAGTGCATATCCTAACTAGTGCATATATCCGATAATTTTAGGCTTTATGAAGGTTTTAAAAGGGCCTAAATGGCAACACCGTATTGCTTGAACGGGAGCTACACAGTTAGGGAATTCGAAATTGATTCAGATTCCATATCTTAAACAGCTCACACCCCTATAAATGCGATATACGAAAATTTTGATCTAACAAAACCGATCCCTTCGGCGGTTTCGTTTTTTAGCGCTAACTTTGCAGTCAGAAATATAGCCGTCTAAATTTATAGACCAGCATCTTTAAGAACACACTTTGCCTACAAGCCGGCTGGCCAAATTAGATGGCAATCAAAATACTGCTTTGTACAAAACTTAAATAATTATGAAATGTGCAAAGTTACGAATCATTTCGGGAGCTGTGGCAGACGTATGGCTCGTTGTCCGAGGGAAGACCGAATGGTTTTCTGACCGGGACTTATCCATCTTGCTGGTTCCTGAGACTCGTTTTCAGGGTGAGTCAAACTAACTGAGCTTGACATCATGGAACTGGTGCGCTTGTGCTTCCCCTCTGGCGCCGTTTCATAAATTACGTTCTCTTGTTCTGGGTGCTTCCCCCTTTCTTGGCTCAGGGGGAACACTTTGGAGAACTCCATTTCCTCGTCACCTTCATCCAAAGCAATTCTCTGCCGCTTGAGATTAATGGCATTGGTGATTTGTTTGAGGGGACTACTGTGAAGTTTCAACGGGCTTCGTCTCGGTGAGCCGTGTGATGAACGCGGAAAGGAGGCAATTCGCAACGGAGTCTTACCCGTAGGTATAGATCCAGTCTGAACTTCCTCTTCCTCCTTGTTCAAGATATCAATGGCGGCATTGATTTCATCAATGTTTGGAACTCTTAACTTCATGCTGCATTCCACTAGGGTGATATTTTGGCCTTGTAAATTTCCCAAGCCATCGCTTACCGTGTTCAAGGCATCTGTCAAAGCTAAATTACGAGAAACAGCTGCATCGTGCTTGCTCTTAATTTCTCCGAAGCTTGTTAGCAAATCCTCGCTTTGTAGACAAGAAATTGAATTGGTAAGACTGTTCAAGTCGTCAATGATTGCATTCCGCGATTCATCCGTTAGAGAGGAGGCGGAGTCTAAGACACTGCTTAGTTTGAGTTTCTCTGCTTGCATTTTATTAAGCAAACACGCTGCAGTTTCCCTGCCCAGGGAGACAGCTGCGCTGTGTTTTTCCTTCCAAGCCATAGTTTCAGCTCCAAGGGCCTGTCTGTGATTCGCTAAGAACGATTCCTGGCTGGAAAGGATCGTTTCAATGAGTTCATTATTTTGTTGTTTATACTGGTCTTGCATCTTGCTCAACAACCTCACCTGGTGTGCCTCTAGCTTTTGCATCTCCACCTTGAGGATTGTCTCCATATGCTGTTTCTGAACGACTCCAGAGACAACATCAGAGGTGACATACTTCTCAAACGACTGGTAATTCTGGTCCAAGGCATCAAACTGAAGGGATAAGCTTTCAGAAATCAGTGCGACATCCAATGCTTCGTCGGCAGACGCCCTAAGACCTTGTAGAAGCCTTGGAAACTTGTCCAAAAATGCATCAGTCACTATCTTGCAGGTCCTATTGGCAGAGTTCTGCAATTTGACCGTAACCTCGTGGATTTGCGACTTTAGCAGCAGCAAATTGCCCTCAATATCATGATTCAAAAGCTGGCTTTCCAAAATACCTCCCACCATGGAAATCTGCGAGCTAACATTTCCTTGGATAACCAGCTTTAAGAAGTCCAACGTGCTGTGGTGATTCTCTATCAATCCCACCAAATCATTATTAATGGTGCAGATGATCCCTTTGAATTTCTTGGACGAATTCAATAGCCTTGACTCGTTCAATTTCTGCTTCTCAACCTTGTCATGGAGCCGGTTCATCTGCGACACCAAATCAGTGTTTACTCTTTTCAAGCTCTCAACATCCTTCGTCAGCCGATGCAAGCTCTCCAGCGTGGTTTTGTGCTGGGCTTGCAAAAAGTCATTTCTCCGCTTTACCTCACCAACCTCGGTTTGACAATTGGCCAAATCGTTCACCAACTCCTGGTAGTTCTCGTTATCTAAGTAAACCCCCTGTTTGTTCCTGGATGCCACCAAATCCATCTTCATTTTAGATAGCTCGTCCGCCATGTCTTTCAACAAGATATTCTTCGCCACCAAGGCTCCCACCTGAGGTTTGTTCTTGATATTTTTTGCTTTTGACGCATACTCGAGCGTACTTGATGTCTCTTCAGCGTTTACCTTAGCTGGCGAAATCGTGGCAATCAACACAGTTTTGGTTTTCCCACCAATAGAGTCCTGTAGCAAACGTGTAAGTTTGGACTCGCGGTACGGAATGTGGGCGCCCCCATCCACGAGGGAATTTATTACTCTACCCAAGGTGAGCAAACTCTGGTTGATCAGACCCGCCTCTCTCGCTCTCTGGTGCACTGCCCCTGACCGACTGACATTCTCAGACCCAGCGAGATCGACCAAGTTCAACTTTGCCACGCGGTATTCCTGGTTGTTCACACTTTTGTAGAGGCTCAAGGTGAAGATTGTGTGCGACCGAGACGAAAAATCGTTCATCTTGGTTGAGGCAACCTGCCGAAGTTTCAAGCCTCTCCGGAGGACGTTCATACCATGGTTGGCGTTCTTAAGATATACCTCCTCTAAGTTCTGGATCATGATGGTGTTCTTTGTGGTATCGGCAGTTTCAGCGCTGGCCAGCTTTCTTGGTTCTTTGGACTCAAAGATGCGGAGCTTCAGCTTATTAGTGGCATCTCCAAGCAAGTCCTTCAACTCCTCATTGTACAACTCCAAAAACGAGCATTTAACCACGTAATCATCTTTCCCCATGTGATTAAACAATTCATAAAGCACTCGGGGGATGATCCCTGCATCCCCGGAAAGTTGGCCATCGGCGAGGATGTTGGAGTTACCGCACATCGTGTGAGTTTTCCCCGTACCAGTCTGGCCATACGCTAGAATCGTACAGTTATATCCGTTGAGAAACTCCCGGAAAAGCGGGTCAGCAACCCCTTGGAAGAGTAACTCTTGGTCGGCGCTAGGCCCATAAACTTGATCCACGGTATACATTTTGGAGGAGATGGCCCCTATGATGGATGTATCGGATGAACTGTTAAGTGTAACCTCGTTAGATCCTGTTGTATCGGGTACCGAGACCACCACAGGCGATTTGGCGTTTGCTTCTCTATCGTTTCGGCCTCGACACCGCACCACCACGTTGATATTCACCAGCTCTGACATTGGTTTGAGGTATTTTGGGTCTTAATCTGGGGGTATTTTGGGAGGGTCCAGAAAAGTAAGTAATGGTGAGTTAGTCTATTGATACTCTTTCTCTTGTACGGCTGGAAATGTTGATAAATTTTATACGTCCGGTTTCTTTTTTGTGTATGCGCCAAAAAAGTAAACATGTAAACACGGTAAATTGAGGCGCGAAAAATCCTGCACCAAAACCAGAAGGGCTGAACTTTCCATAGGGTATAAGTTGATTAAGTTGTGTGTCATAACAAGTAGGCTAAATTTCTGTCGGAGTACTTCGCACCAGAGGATAGTAGCTTAAGAGTTAATAAGTCTGATATCAAACTGTTTGATCTGTAAACCGCGAGGCATAGCTTCAAAAAGAAACACGGTATTGGGTGCCGTATCCATCTGGCCGAGATCACACAGAAAAGTACGCCAGCAGTATGTTTCAACAGTGCTGAATTGTTGATGGGTATTCCCTGGTGATGTTATGCCTGTGTCATAGAGGCCGGCTGGGAGTAATATTCTTAATTAGTGACTCGTGTACCAGTACAGACACTTTGAGTACCTCCAATTTCCAGTTGACAAACAATCTCATCCCTGTCGATGTATTGCGTACATGGCAAGAGCCAACTATTTACGTCTATACCTCCCCTGAGAAGCTTAATTTCCACTAATTCCATTTTCCGTCACCCTAGCTATTTACAATGCTGACACTGCCAAAATTCCGAATGAGCGTCTCGACCTCCCCCCGTGATCTCCCTAACTCCGTGCAGATAGTGTCGAAATCTTCAAAGCTTCTTAAAAGTCGCATCACCTTTGTTTTTTCAGGGTTTGGGGTCAATGCCTTAGTCTGGATTCTGGCCCGAGCCCCAGTGGTGCGAGTGTAGTTCCTCAATTCTGGATACCCAACTGTCTCCTCATCGCTTCCACTGACGTCTGAATCGGTGTCAAACACTTCGTGCTCGCCGGAAACCTTGATTTGCAGTGTGAGAACCGGTTTATTGGCGGACGTAAAACTAATCTTCCGCTTCTCAATCTTAAACCTCCCGTTCTCGTACTTGTCAGTCTTGAGCAAAAACTCGTTGCTACCTGTGTCCCTGCCCTTTCTTCCACTGGTCAGTTCGAAGGCACCCAGCAGCGGATTAGTCGTTCCGATATCCTTGTCGGTATACCCCCGCATAAGACTGACGGAAAATCGTCTATCGTCCAGTATTTCCGCACTCTCGCCAATCTCAATGTTGTTAAACGCATCCTCTGCGATGGGATACGCTCTTACACGGTAGATAATACCCTTGGTGACCCCAAAGGTGATAAACCGCCTGATGTCGATGTGGGTGAGGAGGCTAACGTTGGCGGCGTACCAGTCGCGCACCGTGGAGCCCTGGTGGAGTGACCGGTAGAGGAAGAACAAGCTTGACTTTGAGGGTAACACTAAGGGTTTGTTAGCAGTAGCCTCAAGCTTGCTACTGGACTCTTTTGCGTTGGACTTTCCGGGGCTGGCCGAGCTCATATTGAGATACGTGGAGATGCGGGAGTGTTGAGGACTTCCCGAGCGAATCTGGCTCTGCGTCCATGTGCTAGCAACCAAGGCGGTTGGGTTCGATATATGTACTGCAGCTTCCAACTGGGGCCCCTCAGTGACGCCAGGGGTGTTTAGCGGCGTGTTGTTGCGTGATTCCACGTACGGCTTCACCACATAGTCCTGGCACTCGTCGGCCATGTCGTCGTACAAGAAGTCAGCAATTCTGCTGGTGGGGGCGTAGATGTTGGCAAACTGAAAAATGTCGAGAATCACGATGCACTTGTAGTACATTAGGTGTTGGATGCAGATTTTGGTCATCTTGACATCTGCATCCGCCAACTGGCTGATGCGGTTGACGGAGTTGACGCCATCTATGAACGGGAAGATCTTCACCATTGTGGGATCCCAGTTGAAGTCCACAAGCGACTTAAGCTTTACTGTGGAAACAGGCACATCTGAAGATTTGATCAAGGGGGGCGGCGGAAAGATGGGAAAGAGTTTGATGTCGATAGAGTTAGACTCATCCAACGGAATCAAACACTCTGAATAGCTGTTCAAGTCCTGGTGTATCTGCTGGATGAGCGACTCAAGGTTGAGCTTCTTGGTCTGGCGCCGTTCGCTCTGGGGAATGTTCGTGAGGTAGTCGGTCTTGGCCTGCTGGAGCTGCTGCTCGTCCTGTTCCTCCTCGCACGCAACCAACTGCTCAAACCGACCCTTGAACTCCTGGGAGAATATAAAACTGGATGACGCGGGATTCACAGCAGCCGCCTTCAGGCCGGACGTCGGCGGATCGACGCTTGTCACACTCGTCTGGCTGCCCTTCCGGGGGTTTATGATGGTCTCAGGGATCCGATAGAATACATCGGGCTCGTTTCGCGAGAGAATATTCGACTGTTCTTCCAATGCCGCAAACATCTCACCAATTTTCCGGATCGAGCTTTCGTAGGGTAAAGAATCGGACTCATACGGAAACACAAAGCAGAAGTTGAAGTTGAACGAGTTACGCATGTATTTGTCCGAATAGATGGTAATTGGAAACCCCGCAATTTTATACTGGTTGACCTTGAAGGTGACGAGGCGGTTGCACAACTGGGGTTTGGGGATCACGTAGTTCTTCACAGTGTCAAATGCAAAGAGCGCGGGCCCTGAGTCGTTTTTGGAGGTGCTGACGGTATTGGCTGGTACCTGGTGGACAATCTTCGTCCCTTCTGTCGGGTGGAACACTGCGTAGAAGATTGCGATGATGGGAACAAAGCCTAAACGTTAATATTGATAATGGACGGGTTTCAGGGCTGGTACGTACCATCGTTACTGCTCATTTTTCGGTGGTTATTGAATGGGCTGACCAAGAAATATCAAGTTTCCCCACTTCTTGACTATTCGAGTAGTGGTATCGGGTGCCAATATCGGCAAGATTGCTTTTTAACGCAAGTCGGTTCGTTGAGAATTAAAACACAGCGTTAGTGTTTTCAGAGATACCGACGTATCAGGCAGGAAGTCCTGTTTTGGTCACGTGACGAAACTGTGGGGCCGTGGAGGCAGATAAGGAGACTGTAATTGAGAATTGTATGCTAAATAGCAGCTAATAATAATAATTTTGTAAACAACGTGTGGTTATCGGTGAGGTTTTATTATGGTATAGTTAGATATATGTACAGCTAGATAAATGTACGGCTTGATACAGGATGTCAGCAGCCGAACCTGTGAAGAATGAACGGGGGGTTCAGGTAAGTTGAGGGTATCGCCCACGAGATACCCATCAATTTTGATTAATATATAGCCTACATATACATGACTTACCTACAGGTTGTGTTGTAAACTAATTAAATATTTATACAGGCTAGCAACCCAAGTATGGAAGTTTGGAAGAGTGGAGCTGTCAAGGTGGACAAAGGTAAACTTTATAAGCGAGTGAATGCAAGAAGAAAAAGGTACTATAGATGTGGATCAGTGAAGTGAAGTTTATAGGAGCAGGAATGGTCATGAGGGGTTCGTGGTACAAATATAACAGCTGGAGGGGTCGGGAGTCGTGTAGTTTGGTATAGTAAGACATTGCAAGTCGTGGAGGGACATAAAAGAGAAAATAAGGCCTTCGACTCATGAAACCAAAAAAATAAGATAAAATATAGGCCAAAGGATGACTACTTGGCAGCAGCCACGGGAGATGCTACCTTCATCCCAGTCAACGGATTCTTGATCTCCAAAGGTCTCTTAATTCTAGGAGTATGCACTCTAGGACTTTCATCCACCGCAGTGGCCCTCGTCTGAGTAGGCGTACTGATCGGAGAGTGCACATTGCTAGGCAGACTGTTTGGCGAAAACACAGATGACGTGTAGGGGTTGAACTTGGAGTTTGGCGACAAGGGAGCGGCGTACTTTGAAGAAATTTCAGGCATGAACTCGTAGTCGTCTTCAAACGACTTGGAGACGAGGTACCGGGCCCTGGAAGGCAACTGGTACAACGAAACATTGCTGGTATTTCCGTTGGCCTGCGACGAGGAAGAGGAGGAGGGGTTCAAAGTGGAGAAGGTTGGCGAGTCAGTGTATTCATTGGAGCCACCACTGACGGCACCGTTGGCTCTGGCAAAGGTTCCGTTGGCGGTTCCGTTAGAAGTAAATCTGGCAGAGGCTGATCCATAGGTGTAACCACCAGCGTTGGCGTTCCCACTGAAGTTCTGCGTGTACACGAAGTCACTCCCGCCCTGGGTGGCGTTGGTGTACAAGTTCTGGTACTGCTGAGGAGGAGAGGGGTGGTATGGAGTGGAGTAGTAGTTGTTCATTTGGTGGTGTTAATATTTGTTCATATAGCAAGGATCGGGGCTTTAAGGTCAGGCAAGAACTGGAAAGGGATGGATGGGGATTGGTTGAAGGATCAAACGAAGCGTAGCGGATATATTAACGTAGTAAATCTGGGCAATAAGAAGGTTCGGTGGATTATTTGGTGGTAACGAGGTTTGGAGGAATATTTGGTGTCGTCTTGTTGATGGAGGGGTATCGATAGAGTTGCGGATAAAAATAAAGGGTGCATTCGAAGGGATAACGATAATGCATCAGAACTAAAGGCAAACATTGGGCGTGCATGGCCAAGCGTGACACACTCATTTTAACCGGCAGGGTAAATTGGAGGCTGGATAGCTTATGTAAGCATGTTCTGTTAGGAAAAAGCAATTTAGGTCGCGTGATAATAGTCACGACTGGTACAAGTTATTGACTCAGTCTGTTTTACAGTGTGTTTTTTATATTAACCAAACGGAGTGTGTTATTTGCATTTTAGAACTGCCAGAATCTGTGACGAGGCATTATCATAGAATATTCCAACCAAGCCCTTCCATTTCATCGTAAATTAGAGTCGCATATGAATCGGTGTTAAACACGGTTACCCGAGAACTAATTTCGTTCAGCTCACCGGGTAAGCTTAACGAGAGAATTGGCACCCAGCCTCATCGCTTCAATCTTAATGTCTGCAATATAACCAAAAGACACGGCGCTCAAAAATGGAATACAGCATTGACTCACGGAAATGCCCGTGTATCAAATTCCCTTGAATTGACGATGAGGGGAAAGCAACGGTACCAGTGTTTTTTTTTGTTTGTTTTTTTCTAACAGTTTGGCTTTTCTGTAACTGAAAAAATCTGAGTCAACACGATTAATAGCGGAACGGAGAGACTTTGCCCAAATTTTAAGGCAATTTCCGTGTAACTGTATGTGGTGATTAGAAAACCTACAGAGACTGGATATCCCTGGTCCGAACCGCCTTTGAGATAAATACCCTGTAAAAGAGCTAGCGTGATTCATCCATCATGCAATTGTCTATAGGAGCAGGTGGCTCCATCACATACAGTGGCTAGCGATACAGGTCCATTGGCAAGGATTCTAAAACAATGTCACGGAATACAAAACTAAAATCTCTTCAAATCCCTCGTTGATGCGCGTTTGTTCCGATGATTGGTGTTGTTTGCCTATCTTCCATACGTCATAATTATGCGTGCACAACGCGCCAGGGTTAATATAAACGGACTGGTTCTAATGCTGAGGCACGTCAAAGATCACACTGATGCGTCTCCGCAGTCCATGCTACGAATGTCGGATCAGGCGCTCAAGGAACGATTACAGGGATAATCCCATGGCTTTTTCCGGAACCTATATCGCCCAACATCCGTGAGCCAAAAATCCAGCTGAAATTATCAGACGTGTTGGGCCGAGGTAAAATAATCGCCCATGATTGTCCATTGGTTTCTAGCAGAAATACTGGGGTGAATTGAATCTCGCACAATAATAGCAGAGAATCATCAGACAATTCAGGTACTTTCCCTATATAGGGACAGCTCTGTATCAAACTGTGCATACGTGAAACCTAGACTGGACGAACGATTCGTCCTATTGTTGGTGAATATGTTAAGATGGGAATATCTGGTTGTATTATTGTAGCCTTAATCTGTAATATCCCTTGACAGGGTTAGTCGACCTTTTCTGGAAGCTTATCCAGGTATAGTGGAAGCGCAAAGAGATGCACCCTAGAGACTAATGTGGTATAGTCTACGCCGCTCGAGATTCGCTTCCCGCCTGCATTCTCCGCCTCGTTTGCGTGTGAACTCCTCAAGTTGTAGGTTCCCTGCTTGCTTTCGTTTCGGCTTGGCGCCATGCGCCTTAAGTCACGTCAGCAACTATGTGGGTGCATTGCCCCTTAAAAGCGCTGTGTGGGGCTAATGTAATGTAGTCACGCACGGTCTAGCTTTCCGTCTTAAAATGCGGTCATCAACGCGTCATAGGGATGTCTAAGACTGCAAAATGACATAATGTCGGGAGATCTAGCGTGGTTCTGGAGTCTTTGGAGATGAGGATCCAAGGGTCAGACCATCAATTCGTCTAGTCAGGCCCTAGTCCCAGCTCCTTTAATGCATGTGTCTGTGTCTTATTGAACTAGCAAGCGCACTTGCTTGGACTATCGGGTTTAATAGCTCCGGACCAATTGAAGCCACTTGAAGCCACTTGACTCTCTTTCTATGTTTCGCTATAAATTATAGTGAAGTGATACGCTCGGTAAAGCTGTCAATACTTGGGTTTTGCGGCTTGGATTTTGAGGTGAAGCTAGGACAAAAAAGATAGCGAGGGGCCATAGAAATGACACACATCGCATAGCTCTTCGTGAGATGAATCTGCATGCTAACAGATTCGTCTCACGGCTAGTAGATTCAAAACCAAGCGTGTATCAGGAACGATAGGATTTAGGTAAAAGCAATGATCGGCTAGTAGCGTTTTTGTTGCCAGGCGGCTACTTTGCGGTGTATAGATCTGATTAGGTCGTGTGTTTGTATGCAGCATACAAGCCTTCGAATTTCACCACGAACTAAAACATTCTACGAGTCTTCTGTATCTTAATAGTCTCGTCTAGATAAGGTATCATTGCAGATTGCCCCAGACTGCTTCTGGCCAGTTTTAACAATAGAATTATGAGTTTAGTGCTAGAAAATTAGCAATTTCACTAGTGCGTAAGCTGATAGCTGTAAATGCTAACAATATTCTACGAGGAACGAAATTTAAATGAGGGGGGGAATCTTTTATTACAATGTGCCTTAGGTTATGGTCATCAGATGGCATAAAAGTTTTCATGAGCCTTTATGGTTAATTTTAAGTGCCATAGCTGTCAATAATATTCCCTGGTACTCCTAGATAGGGAATAAACCCCCTGTTTCAGTCTCGGGGATAACATGCCTTTAAAATCACAGGCATGTTCATTTATACTCTTTGGCAGCCATTTCAATCCTACCGTTCGGCCTCCATTTTTGAGATTTACAGACTGGCAATATAAAAGTAAAAGGCATTAAAGTTGAATTAAAATATATCGTAAATGATCAAAGACCCAAGCTCTTGATGGACGGCAACTTGATCTTGCAGTCGTCCGGCTTCTCTTCCGCCTTGCCAAGAATATTGGCATAGCCTCTGGATTTCTTCTCCTCAATTTCCTTGGCCTCTGTTTCCTGGAACTGCTGGTAACCGTACTGGCAGCTCGCTTGGCTCTCTGGCTTCTCTGAAAGCAAGTTGGTAACACTGAGCGGCTTTTCTTCGTTGAGCAAGAACACGGTGGAAGTTTTATCGCTCCCCGAGGAAGGCATTTGCACAGCAGGTTTAGCCTGGACGACGGGCGAGGAACTCGGGTATTTGGGCGCCGATTGGCGAGAGTACAGTGGGTGGGTATGGGACTGTGAGTAGGAGTCGAAACTGGAGGTCACCAAGTTAGACTGCTGGGGAAAGTTCGCAGCGTACGGACTTGTGGGATTGAAGTGGGAGAAGGTGGCAGATATGGGCGTGGTGAGCTGCTGCTGATAGAGGGCAGAGCCGCGTGGATAGCTATTGGTATGGAAGAGAGGCAGAAGCGGGGAGTCTGCGGGCATGTGGTACCCAGCCGACAACGGCGGATTGTAATGGCCGTAGGTGTGGTGGTGGGCCTCAGTAGCCGAGGCTGGATGCCCAAAAGACGCGTTAGATGCCGAGGAGGGGTTGGAAAGCGAAGACGGTAAGGGCACCGGTCTCGGTCTTCTAAGCTCGAGGTTGGATCGGAAGGAGGACGGTGGCTTGAGAAACTTCGGGTTCATTGGCGGTGGCGGCGCGTTCCCGTAGGGGGGCATGTTGGGATTGGCAGGCGAGATTGAATTAGGCGGCGAAATCATGTTGTGTGCGTCGTAGCCCGAGTAACCGTACGTCTCGTTGATGGGCGTGGTGGGGTTGGAGCCACGCAGGTACTGTTGGTGCACGTACCGCACCTGCTCCGCGTAGCCGTACTCCACCGGGTATCCCTCGTGGTACTTGCGCTTGTGGGGGTCGCGGTACGAGGCAATCTCGGGGTCGCTGTTGGACTGTGGAAGACCTGGATAGGTGTGGATTGCTGCGTGCTCCTGCGGCGGGCTCTCGTGAACGTTCGCGTGTACCGTCTGCTTGTGCTGTCTCAAGTTGTCCAACCGCGAGAAGTTGCGACCACAAAACGTGCAATTGTACGGCCGCTCACCGGTGTGTTTTCTAACGTGTCTGGCCAAATGCTCAGAGCGCGTGAAGGTCATGTTGCAGCCGTCGTAGCCAGTGCACTGGAACACACGTGGCTTCGCGGCCTTCTTGGAAAGGGCGTCGGTCATGTTGATACCAGCTTCGTGCGGAGAGAGGTATGTGGAGGTTGCCATAATAAAAATTTGGCGGGGGAGGGGGAGTCACAAGTGAATCTGAGGTTATTCAAGGAGAACGGTTTGATGTTTGTAAGCAAACAACAGCAAGACGGAATGGAACCGTTATATATGAGTAGGCCCAGGGGTGTACGTTAACTAGTGTCGACAAGTTCACTGAAAATATCAAGAGAGGAACCGTAGGTAGCGAAGAGGAATTCCAGGAAAGACTAGGTCGAGGCTTAATGCACAAGAGAACAGGGTGTGAAACAAAGAAAGACGATGTTATTGTTAGTCCTGGAGCTCAGCTACCATAGACAGACGAAAAAGTGGCCGCATGAAAAAGAAATTATAGAAAACATGTGCGCATCCACCCAGGACGCGGTATGCAGCCCAGGCACGAGGGGCAGAGTTGTAGAGCACGGACAATAGTTTAAATCTAAAATTAGGTGCATGAGAATAGTTCGCGGTGCATACGCCCGAAGGAGACACGAGAAGCTCTGCGTGGGCGCATGTCCGTGCTCCAAGGCGGCAAACACCTAGGGGTGAGGCTAGTTCAGCCAGGGCGATACACAGGTATGCAGTTACCAAGCAACCAGGGGCCTGAATTGGCCTGTAGGTCAATTGCAAAATGAAAGCAGAGCCTGCAGGTTAAGCTACTCAGAATGAAGTTCAAACCCGCAGCTCTGCGATTGACGACGCATATATGCGCCTCGCATGCTGTCGTCGTCACCGTGGGTGCTCTATTTGGCACCGTATAACGCCCCTATCACCGAAAACCAAAAAGAAGTTCCGGATTTCGGATCGTTAAACGAAACCGCAAACTTCGAACCGTCCATATCAAAAGCTTCGGCCGCACGTCGAAAGCATTGGAGTAGCTTCGAAACCCCGCAACAAATACTATATTCCGGGTATCACCTTAGGTCAGATGAATCTCACCATATTCCGGAACGTCCTATTCAACCATTTAAACTATAGGTGGATATGGGTCTTTAGAATTACCAGGGCTATCAGACGTGAGGGCTGCAGGGCTCTCCAAGGCACAACAATTTCACGTAACGGAAGCCAACCTATATAACTGTATGTGCTTGTATTATTCGTTAAAGCATATTCCAGAATACGCCTGGCTTCTTCCGAGGGCCACAGAAAGTGCACTAACGTCTCCCCAAATGTTCAACGTATTGGTTTTTATCATAAAACTCGGAAGAATAAATGGAAGAATAAATGTTTGTACTTTCCCCAATAGGTGCCCGGTCTGTGACCGAGGCGGGCTTTCGAGTCTGGGATATCACGCTGATACGTATACAGAGATTAAATGACTTCCGGTCGTACCCAGTTCGAAACCTAACGTAAACAGTAGGGCCAGCTAGATGGAAACCTGCCTGATTATTATTTCAGCCTTGCTATTTATTTCTCTTGATTGAGGTAATATTTACCCTTTTATATCGACCTGGCAGTTAGGCGCCTGTTACGCAATATCTAGAACAATACGCATGTGATTCCTTTCTTCTTGCCCTCAAGCACCTGGGTCCGACTGGCACTTCCCAAATAGGCTATGTTGCGCTTAAAGGGGTAGCAAATCAAAGACTACGCCTTATGCGCATACTGGCTTTACTTCGTGTAGACGAAGCGCCATTGCAGTATCGCTATTATAAGCTTCAGGTCACATCTCTACTTATACTAACTGTGCATTGCGCCTTTGGGAAACGAGATTGTTTAAAGTAATTAAATTTTTCATCACACTGCGGCCCTTGTCTTTAGTTCGACCTCCTTCATGTTCCGATAAACTAGTTACCTAGTTCTAAAGTTTTCGGCCTTAGCACCCTTTATTGCGCGTACTCAGTGTGGTGTATAGATCGCACTTCAAAGTTGCAGTTTTGCTGCACGCAAAAGCTGTCCTTCAAAGTAAGCCAAAAACGAACTAATTCTATCACCACTTCAACCCTGTATAACTCGACAATCTGACTACATACTAGCTGTCCACGGTGGTTTTGTTCCTCTCTAAGCTCTCCTATTTGAGTATACATCAATAAAGCTTTGTAATTGGGTACAGAGTATGCAACTCCATACCAGTGCCGCCGGTATGCATTAACGATGCATTGCTCGTGAGCACGAGGGTTGCGGCAGGGATTTACAGTACGGATTGGCCTAAGGATTTCAGTCACAGAGGGGGATCCTCGGCTAGGCACTTTACATTTTTTATAAGAGGCGGCCTGTTTTGGAAGCTTGGACACGTTTCTGGTAGAACACTGGGACAACCTGGTATAGAGCCTGGTTCTTCCCAAGTTTAAAGACTCACGAATGCACCTTGGGTTACTATATTGTGCATCTTAGGGGGACTTCGCTTCAGGCATTAAGCATCTCGGAGACAATATCTTTTTTGCTCGTATTCAGTTGTTCCCCCGGAACGCGCTGGAGTTTGCTGACCATTATTTACGTGGAGGCAGCTGCTAGACGGCACTCCTGTCTCTGCACCGAGGTTTTCCATACATATTACGATAATCATTGCATGTGCAGTGCATACACTAATAGCAGGTCCAAACCCCATGCATATCTCCAATAGACTGGACAACGGTGTCCTTAAATTATTAAAAGCTCCCTACAATCTTTACCCCTGGTCAGAGTCACTATGGGTCCGGCAAGAGATCTAGCTAGTGCCATCACTGACTTGTGATTCGGTGGGGCGGACCAACTCCCTCTAGTTTTCTGTTTCTCAACTATATTAGTTGATAGCCGCTTAAACTGGCAGCGGGATTTATGCATTAATCAATTGCTCTCCCAGCGAAACTTAAAGCCGGTTTGGAAGGACCGTCATTTATTGTGTTAGAGAAGTTCAGCCCATCGTATCACGCGCCCCTGATATCTCCACGACCGGCCTTGTCATCTTTCCGCGTATATGGAGTTGTGCCCTTTGCTCTCTATATACTGCCTATACAAAGTAGTCTGGGGTAGCTTGTAAGGTCTACTATTATTCCTCAGTATACCGCACTTACATTAAACAGGAGATTCATATCTCGTTGCTTATCTCATCAATCACACAACTTTTATGTAGGTTCGTATACACTTACAACTAGAGAAGTAGAGCAATCAGTCGTGTCATACGTGACTGATTAACTAAAGGTTTTCTGCATGTAATAGCACTTATCCCAGAATTCCAGTACAATACAACTTTAAATTTTGAACAGAGGGGATACCCGCTACCTCAAGTCACTTAGGGAACCAGAGCATGGCAGTGCCTTTCTGAGCTCGGGTATGTTACGAGATGGTTGAATATACAGCCAAGTGAACTCCTTGGACGTAAATACAAGTAGCCAAGCCAGAGCATTTATTTAAGAGGAAAGCTAGAAGCCGGTGTGTAGAACCTTTGTCCTGTCGTCTTGCCTTTTTTTGCCCCCCCCCCCCCCGATAAGTAGTATGCCTTACTTGGATAAAAAAGTATGATCGTGGTGAAGATGGTGAGGGGAACATCCCATGAATAAAAAAATACGTTCCGAGCATACATGAAGCTATGTCGGATTAAATTTTCTTGTAAGTTCACTGGCTTTTAGAAACCTAGTCCGTTGTACATTGTCAACTGGTGGGTTATGATGGCGCCGGTCCAGGCTCAAGTGTCGATCCTCGGTCTCTGAGGTGCTGCCTACAGTCACATCCGTATCGTAATATGCCTCTATATACTCAGCACAGTTGGGACTTGTAATAGGGCTAGATATATAGATCTGTCCTAGCTGTACAATATCTGATGCAAAACAATACAGACTGCCGTTTGGCGACTTTTAGGCATTTTTCTCTCCTGTTTCCTAAGGATCTTCGCCTTCTACGTGCATCTACCGCTGAAATTTCGTATTACATTGTACATACTCTGGAGGGTTATACCAGACGGGTAAGCAGGAATGAGCCAAGAAAAAAACAGCAAGATTGAAGATCTTGCGCAAAATTCACAATTATTCGATAGTACTCGCTATGCTAATATGTTATCCTACTTTTATATTTTTGGGCACCTGAATGCTGGCACTAATGAGCTATAAACCTCGAAAAATGGTAATTCCCCGATATAGATAAATGTAGCTCTCTAGGTCTAATTTGCCTCGACGTCGTGTAAGTCCATATAGGGCGGGCTGGCTATGTGTGTATCTAAGCCTCGACTTTGAGCTCAGGAGGTACTCATGACCCTACAGGATGTAGGGGCAGCTGGAATTAGCTGTTGACAGGGGTGAAAATCCTGCGTCGAGATGGCACGATGGCGATCCTCTAAGAGACGTAGGGGTTATAAGGGGTGGCGCTTCATAGTATCTAAGAGGTGCGAAAAACAGTACTTACACGTGTTTATCGCATATCCCCTGCTTAAATGTACTTTTTACAGCTCCGTATACAAATGCACAATATTAGGCTGCATTCCGTAGCATCAAAAGTAATGGTGTATTTTATTACATATTATATGCGTATATACGCTCTATATATCTTGTTTCTGACCCCTGAGTAATTTCATAAATATTTATCTATATCCTCACTCCTCACTATTGATTATTGCTCATAGAACAGTATTATTTTGCAGCAGAGAAATAATATAGCATGTAAATGTAACTAAGATGTGTAAATATATAATCATAATTTATTAATATAATCGAAGGCACTAAGCTACAGTTACACCATATACACGCATATTTGAAAACAGGGTTATGTACATCAAAACACAAAAATCAGGCTCCAAAGGCACAGAACTACCAAGGTGTCTTCTTGGCAGCGTAAGATGTGTTAAACGTCGCCTCTAGAACGAGTAAGAACCTCCCTTAGATTAGGCTACGTCTCACATATCTACCGACGTTTCTTACAATCTGCTTATTTCAAATAGATAAATAACTCTGAAAATATGTTCCTATACAATTACAAACTAGCCTTCTTGCAGCAATCACTATTTTGGGCGGTAGACTGTTTTTTGGACTCCTCGTAATACATCGAATTCTTACCCTTGTTATCGGATTGAGGAACATCCAAACCAGGATTCTTTTCAAAGAAACCGTAAGGAATGATGTTAATTTCAGGCAAGTTATCCGTTGGCATGACTGGGAAATCCTCAGCTCTTGGCAAGTGCGTCAAAGACATGGTAGCGAAAACCACCAAATCGGTATTTCTCACCGGAGCTTCGCCCTTGACCCATTCGGCCAAACCAGTGTCAGTTTGAGATTGGTTGGTGAATTCACCAGCAGCCCACAACTGGTTATCCTTGTAAGGCACCACCCACATTTGTTGGGTAGCATACTTCGCTCTTCTGGAGTTGAACGAGGTTGGATGAGCAATCATCATCTGGCGAGCGGAGGTATCAATCTTGTACGCGACTGGCTTTCTGGTGGTTGGATTTATAACCGATTCGTTGATAATCTTGACAGCCCTGTTGGTGAATGGAGACTGTTCAATGTACCCTGCCTTTTCGACAACCGTTCTCTCTGAAACAAAACCGATACCGTATGGATTAAGCACCGGGTCGATGGCCATTGGAACCGCGTCGTCGTAGACAACAGTGTTGTTGTGTCCATCCACAGCTGGATCGATACGGAAGGACAACAAATGCTGGTGGTAGGCAGCCATCACCCCAGGACCGACGTTGGTACCCCAAGGAACATCCAAGCCCTCGTCGATTGGCATAGTGGACAAAATACCCGTAGCCTTGGCCTTAATGGAGATCTGACCAATTTGGTCAAACACGATGTTCAAGATGTATTCGTAGTTGGCAACAGTAGCAATGGTCTGGAGCACAAACTCTCTTCTTCTGGCCTGGGTGGAGTCAAACGTTCTGTAGTTGACGTGCTTATACAACAACCCATCGTCCTGCTCGTGCATACAAATGGTGGAAGGGATCAACACCGGGTTACCCTCACCGTCACATCTAAGACAGTCAAGGTACTTGATAACCCCGAGACAGTCGCAGCCCAAGGCCAAGGAGTTGGCGGACGAGCCGAATCCACAGTCACCCAAGTCAAAAGCCTGCTTTCTGTGGAAAGGAACTCTTGGATCACCGTAAGGCACGGTCATTTCAGATAAAGAAAGTCTGTACAAGACAGATCTCCCCTTGAAGGAGGCATCGTAGATAACCATGCCCTCTCTGTTGTTGGAGGAGACTCTGAACTCCCAGCCCTGCCACTTCACCTTGGAGCCTTCAATCTCATATGACACACCCTCCGGCTGCACATAAAGCAAAGGCTTCAAGTCTCTTGGCTTTTCACCGTGCAACTTGTAGTGGTACTCCACTGGCAAGACTTCCTTCCAGGGTAAAGTGGCTGTGACTTTTTCATCTACCCCGCCAGGCAAAAAGTCGATTCTGACAAACTTCTTGGTGAAGGCCTCAAACACAGGGGCAAACTTCAAAGGCAAGGAATAGTGGTTGGATTCTTCATGACCGTTAGAGCCGACCAAGTACATATAATATTGGATCAAGAAACGGTCTTCATGCTCGGAGTCAGTACCGTACATCCATGGATCGGTACGCACAACGTAGCCTGGAGGCAATTGCAACTTTTCAACCTCAGCCTGGACCAACGGATGCTCCATGCACCAACTCTCGCATTCGATCACGTCTTCCGGCAACAACGGACCGACGGTACCGTGAGGTAAGGTGGTGGTGGTAATGACATGCTTATACGTCAAATTTACCAAAGCCTTGTGGAGGTGCTTCTGTTTGGTGTAGAAATACGCATAGGCAGTACGTGGAACCTCTGGCAATGGCTTACCGGCCTTCTCAGCTTCCAAGTACTTCAAGGTATCCCTCTTAGGTGGCTCCAATCTGTCGATAAGCACGAAGTGCACGTTGTCGGCTGGATTGTAGCCATCCTTGATAAGCTTAGCAGCTAAGGTGATTTCGTAATCTTGTATGGAGTCGAATGGGTGGAGTTGATTAGGCATGGTGTTGATTTATACAGTAGTGGATATATGTGCTGAGAAGGGAATCCATTTGCAAACCAGGCGGAAGACGCAGTTATATTTATACTGCGTGAACACCCTTGCGAGAGATCTCTGCGGAGCCAAAGGTGTCAGGAAATTTTAAATAGGCCCATCGCTTCTCCTTCCTGATCTGGCGTCTGTACGCGATAGGGTTTAATATTTGTAGGCGGGATTTCCCTTTCGAGACAGTGCATGCGAGTCGGTCCAACCCGCAGGAAATGGTCTAACGGGCGACACCATAATTTTGCGGGAAAGCCCTACTTGAAAAAATAAGGGAAATTGTAGCGGGACAAGCGATTATTATAATCGGTCCATCAATGAACGAGGAGGATAGCTGGAGCTTTGTTTGAGTGTTTGTGGCCCCAGCCTATAGTCGTAGACCTGTATGTCGTCGGTGCTTGCGCGAGAGAAATTTAGCTGTAAAAGTTTCTTCAGCCGCTGTACCTCTCGGTGTCTTAAGCTTGAGTCATTCTTCGAATCAGCAGGGCATCGTACGCTATTAGTTTCCCGGCCAAAGGACCTTACTCTTAATACCCTTGGTTTTACCTATCTGCTTACTAGTTTTTCCCCTTTACGTCGTGAAGCAGCGGCCCTTCAAGCAGACCAAATAGATATAATGGTCGATTGGTGTAACTGATATAAGCTTAATCGTATCGCTGCAACATTATAATATTTATGTCTACCATACTTAATGGCCATGCTGGTTTTAAAGAGAGCGTACACCCAAAGAGCAAATTAGAACACGCAGTTTCTACCGAGCGGGTCGGCCCAAAGAGGAAGTACCGCCACCGCATACCGCGTACGATTCTGCCGCGAGGAACGCCGCGATAGAGCGTTAGAGGCAAGGGTTACCCGAGGCAAGCGCGAGTGTCATACTTCAGACCCCTCACTCTTGTGCAAGAGTTTCAGAAGAGCGGTAAGGTGATAGCCTCACCATATCTCTCCGGTTATACCGGCTGGAGATTACTGCTTTAGGTATGGCGGTACCAACTGCGGCCGCTAGTATAATGAAAGTTCAGTTACTCCTAAAACTCTCTGAGTCTCTGACCTAAAGGGAATAGGGCTTGGCGGGGTAACAGCTATATTCGTTATACAGAGAGCTATCTTATATAGAGATCATACACTTGGCTGTACGAAAACAGAGCCGCAATACTCGTACCTCGCGCGGGCCATCAGTATTTAGCTATAGGACGACCGATTATGACCATGGACTACAAATTATTAGCTCAACCATGTTGAAACAGTCTTTTCCACGAACCAATGGGGGTGGCTATGATACAGCATGAGAAAACAATTATAAGCCATTACATGATCTTTCACTGGCGTTTATTGCAATAGAACTGTGAACAAGGCTCTTCCGCGTCTAGTCAAAGAAGTCATCATCCTCGCTGTCTTCAGCCAAACGACGTCTGTCAAACTGTCATAAATGTTAGTATAGGTACACCCATAGATCCAACATATCGATAAAATACGCACGATAATCTTAGTTTCCTGCTGCTTTTGCTGGTCACGGCTGACACCGTCCAAGATCTCGACAATCTCTTCCTCGCCCACCTTCTTTCTCAACTGGCCGGATTGGGCCATGCGGACGATGTAATCTTCCACAGCCTGAGCTCTGTCTGGCCGAACAATACGCACTCTGCTCAACCTGTCTCGGGCCTCTGGTTCCAAAATTTGAGAAAGCATAGCGGAATGAGCATCGCTCCTCTGTTGTTCCTGAGGCGTGACGCTAGAGCCGGAAGTAGATGGGCTTATTCCGCTAGCAGACTTTTGGATTTCGGCCAATCTAGCAGCACGGATAGCGTTTAACTCGGCATCATCCATTTTGTGTTTGTGTATATGTGTAACAGAGGTGGGAGGAGGTTTAGCAAAAGTTCGTGAAGTGTATCTCTAAAGTTTTGAGTTAGGTGCATCAGTCTGTGAAAAATTACGCGTGTGTGAGATGTATTTTTCTCGAAGTTAAGGAAAGTCGCGAAAAGTGAAAAATAGCGATGATTCCCAGTTACACGTAATTTATATAAGTTGATATAGAGATATGACGAAAGAGCCCCCCTAAATGAGAGAATATACTTGATTTAATAAAGCCCTGAGTCACTAATAGAGATAATCTCTCCGTTCAGTAGTATGGAGAGCCAAGATTTGAACCCCGTGGTAAATCAGACGTCAACCATGCCTAGAAAGCTAAACACCCGAAAAGGATCATAGCGATAACCAATCTCTACATTTAGCTACAGGGTGGTATCTTAGGCCACAATTTTCTTGAATGGTCAATTTCCTAGAGACGAAAGAAAGAAAAAAAAAAAGAGAAAAAAAAGTGGCACGATTAACAAAAATATATCAAATAGAAAAGAGGGTTTAGTTGGCCTTCTTCGCATCCTTTTCAGCCATCATACGTTCTTGGATGGAGAAAGTTTCACTAACGGCACCAGCGTCTCTGATGACAGCCATTCTCATAGTGGCCAACAAGTTGTGGGCAGCGTTGGAGTGGGCGTAAACACCACCGTTGAAGACTACGGTAGCATCCTTGCCGACCGAAGTCTTAATCAAGGTTTCACCACCTGGGTGTTGGGACATGAAACCGGAAACATCATGGACAATCCCGGAAATGATACACAAGCCTGGTTGGACCTTGGACTTTTCAAAGAACTCAGACTTATCCCAGACTGGCAACTCAGACAATGGAGTACCCCAGTTCAAGTTTGAACGCAACCTATCCAACTTCTTTTGCTGTTGCTGGAGCAAACCTTGCTGAATGGCGTTTTGGGAGAAGGTCTTCAAGTTGTAAGCAAGACCCAACTTGGAGGAAACCCAGATAAGGTACTTGGTTGGGTCGTATTGCCACCACTTCAAGGCGTTTCTGTAATCAGACGGAAACTCGTGGTGGAAGTTGTGGTAACCTTCACCGAAGGTAACGATGGCAGTCAAGAAGTGGTCTCTTGGGGTTCTGCGGTCATCGAATGGCTGGACACCGATCCAGTGGGCCAAGGAGTTAACACAGAAAGTGGCTTGTTGAATGGTGAACGCCTTAAGGATACCGGCATAGACCAAACCACCCCAGTAGTCGCCCCAGAAATAACCGGCAACTATGGTTGGCAAGATAAAAGCCATGAAAAACATAATGGTGAGGTAGTGGCGGTGCTGCACTCTGACGATCCAGTCATCAGCCAAATCGGAAATGTCAGCTCTGGCCTTGTACTTAGGGTTTGGCTTTTGCAACATCCATCCTAAGTGGGAGTACCAGAAACCACGTCTAGCATCGTACGGATCTCTTGGAGTATCGGTGTATCTGTGGTGGACACGGTGGGAGTGGCCCCACCACTTGATGGAGCCCTCAACGGCACCGGCACCAAAGAGAGCGAAGACAATCTTGAGTGGGTCGCGGGCCTTGTAAGCCTTGTGAGACCACAAACGATGGTACCCGGCGGTGATAGAGATACCAGACATGACATAGAGACCGAAGGCAAGCACGAGAGTCTTCAATTGAGGAGGAACCCAGAAAAAGGCGGCAGCCATCCCCATGACCGGAATCATGACAACCAAGTAGACGTTCAACCAGTTGACATGTTCATGCCAGTTGGCCGCGGTCCATGGCTGTTCAGAGATGTGCATGTTCTTGGCGTATCTTTCACGTTCTTGCTGGTCCTTGACCAAAAGAGAGTTGATGGAGTCCTTGGCCAACTGTTCGGCGGTGACGTTGATCATGTCCTTGGTACCCATTAGCTTACCACCGAGACCGGAGGCAACAATGCGCTTTTGTGGCTTGTTAGTACCGGCCGCAAGGGCATTGGCAGCGGTAACATCCACGGAATCAAGGTCGAGGGACATTGTTGTGTGGGTGTAAAAGAAATAAAATAAACGGCGCTAAAGTATTGGAATGGGTGCTTAAGAGTAAGGTTCAAAGCTTATCAGGTATGTATAAATAAAGTAGGATACCACTGTTTCCAATTAACAGAGATAGAGTATATAGAGATGATAACTTGAAAAGAGAAAAAGAAGGAGGGACGAGTCTTATATATGGATCCAAAGAGTAATCTCCTAGGAGAGTAAATATGTACATACCGGTGCTGAGTTTCCACCAAACCGAGCTATTTCCGTAGATCCCACTCTCCGTTGTGCAGGGCGCACACCATTTGCAGTAGAAAGATTGGAAATAAGGAAAAAAATGTTGGGCTCTACATGTATGTCCTGTACACAGTAAATAATTTTGAGTTTATCTTTCTTTTTTGTGTTTCTTTTTTGTTAACAGTATCAACTGTGCCGGTTTAAACCCAATAGCCACACGTGATCTCACCTCGTTGGGACAAATCGCTCACAGGAGGCGTGCTGCAGTTGTGATAATATGCGCTGATTATGTGGAGCTTTTGGTTTCGTCACGCCGTTTGAGGGAGTTTGAAGGGCTGTTTTAAACGGGGTTCTTTTCGAAGGTATTAGATGTAAAAGATTTCGGATTGCCATCCGGTGGTTTGAGTTGCAGTGGTATTCCGGAATTAAGGGATCTGCATTCCCTACGCCCAAAAACTTCAGCAGCCTTATCTATAACAATTCTGTCAGAGTACGTCGCACGAAGAGTCTAACGCACTTTCGGGAAGACTCGGAGCGTTTCTAGTCTGGAGACAAACACATGCACTAGGTGATCAACATGTTCTCTGGTGACATTATTTGTGGGGTGAGTTTAACAGGAGCATTGTAGACTCTCCATGTGTCACAGATGCATAGCTCCATAGCTGCATACTGGCTCGGCGTCTCCCCCTGGAATATGTAGAACCCTTTCAACAAAAGCATCTCGGCCTTTAGGGACTATAAACCTAAACGCACGATTGGATATACCCACCAGAGCTGTGTGCAGCTAAGCTCCTGTCTTCTAATCTGTGGCTTTGGAATTTTTGGCTGGAAAAATTTAAAGAGCGAAAAGCATCGACCTTTACCACGTGAATTAGTGGGTAGAGGTCGATTCAGTCTAGAAATTTCACTTGAGATCTTCTGGGGAATTTAAATTCCGGTTATGAATAGCCTCTCTTTCGCATCTGCATCATATTCCAGACAGGCTAACAGTGTTTACTTTATTAGCAGTTATCTGGTTATGTACAACCCACCTGCGGCTATAAAATGTGTCAAAGTAGCATGGGATCCGGGGTTTTGCCCGAGAGAGTTGTATGCCACGTATCGGTACAGGCCGAGTGCTACAGTTGTCCAACCAGTCGCGTTGTAAAGTAAGATTTGATCGCAGGAGAACAAAAGCCTCATTCAAAATTGTTGGATAAATAGAGTTTGATTAGTACAGGAAACTGGAGAAATTTTAGACCTGCTCTTTTTTCACACTATATCGGATATAGATGAATAAAAATACACCTCTTGAACGAGTTATAATCAATTGAGTTCCGACAAAGAGAAGCCGTTTTTTTTCGCCCCCAGTCACCAAAAGTACCGCATCTTAGTTCCCCCTTTTCTGTATACCCTCCGGAATTACACTTTCAGGCTTCGAGTACCATACTATTTAGTACTATTGAATATTTTTCTGATATGCTACTTTGGTCTAAAAATTGAAAAAATCAATACTGCAAAATTTTCGCCTCCAGTGCTGTATGCTTCTCTTTCGTAGTCTCTTCCTTTCTAGGATTCGCACCTAGCCACGTGATGCAGCTGAGAAGTGCGTCTAGGTTCCACGTGACCTACAAAAAACACACTCACCCCGTAAACAAAAACATCAACTATTCACCGGATAAGCAATAAGTAAACAAATCTTTACCAGGCATGCCGTTTCTTCGCGCAAGCCATTCTTTTAAGCTATTCCCTTACTATTCCACTACCTTATATTGTACCTTTGCTAATTTTGAGCCTTCCATATACCCCTTCAAAGCTAGCTCCAATGTCTGAAGCAAACTATCGGAGACCAACCCCGAAACCTCTGCGACAGGAGAAGGTATCGGTCCTCAAGCAAGCGCTCGTTGATGAGCTCCTGAAATCGAGCACACTATCCCTGCAAGTAGAACGGCGCGATTCTACTATCGCAAAACAACAAACAAAGATCGAACAGGGGGAGCAACGGGTCCGGGAGTTGGAGCAGCTTCTAGCGGCAGCCGCTCAGCAAATCGAAAGTAGCGACGAAAAAAACACAAAAACTCAGCTCAAGCAGTGTGAAACCGAAATATCCAAGCTCAAAGCTACGCAGCAGAAGTATTTTGATGCGCTCGGGGAGAAGGACGTGATCATCCAACAGCAAGCCAAGCAAATATCGCATTTCGACGAGGCAGCGCAGCAGTTCCAGCGGACATATAACCAGCTCAAAGAGCGCAACGTTGCGTTGGCAGCAAAGATTATTGAGCTTTCCAAGAGGAAGAGGGAGCAGGTCATCGTAGTTGATGATGTGGTCAACGAGATATTCGAAGCTCCGCGAGAGTTTGATCAGAGACAGAAGGCGTTGGAGACGCAGCAATTACAGCGTGATGAGGCGGTGGCCAGACTCGAGCAACAAATAGCAGAGTTAAAAGCCAGAAATGGCGAACTAACCGAAATAGTCTCAGAGTATAAGGACAAGTTTGCGGCACAACCGGAGCTCCAGATCCCACCTGTGGAGGATGATGAGGCCCAGTCTGAACCAGAGGTGGTGCTTCTTGATACTGAAGATGAGGGGATGGAAACTGAACCGGCCGATAAGCCACGTACCGAAACAACCCGGGACATGGTGGCAGAGAAATCTGACTTCCGGCTCAGACTCCAAGAAGACTCCACAGGTCAAGAAGACAGCCCGTTGAGTGACGACGATACAGACGATATTATGGAGATCCCTGACCCTCATTTACACTACGATGAAGCCCCGGCGTCCAACTTTGGGCTGTTGGCGAAATCGCTACCAAAAGCTGACGTTGAGCACTTGAGCTTACTGGTTGTGCACTTGCAACTAACACCAACTCCCACCATGACCAAAGGATCGCCCATCCCGCTCGAGAGAATGCATAACGGGATCGTTATTCTCCCTGATAATAACCACGGAAACCCTTCTCTCACCACACATGACCCGGTAGCGAGGTACCATTTACCAAGAATTCTCTGCACCGCGGCCGGGGTCAAGCTAATCCCAGGAGAACGGTTCTCCTCGGTGGCCGCAGTTGAAAGCTTTGCATTCTGGCATTTTACCGCAAAAAGAAATATCCCCTTGAGCGTAGTGAAAGGCCCTACTGTCCGAAATTCCAAGGCTACATCTGCCTTCACTTTAGGCTGCGCCTATTGTCACACAGAGTTGGCTATTACTCGAAAAATAGTGGTATGTATAAATACGCTCCAATCCCCTCTCTACCGTTTACTAACAACCCTCTCCCGGAATACGGCTATTATGTGATCGAAGAAGTGAAGAACGTGCATGCATGTATTCCAGATAATGAAAAGACCCGAGAAGTTGAACAGTTACCGAAAAGACAAAAGATTTCCGACAGAGTTGTTGCACGCACGGGACACGATATCGAAGTTACTTTTAACGACGCAGACCTCCATACTGGATACTCTCTCAAGCCTCCAGTGTACCACGTGACAGCCTTGGTTACGAAGTATTGCTACACCTTTGGTCGTGAGTCCATCATCTCCGAATTGAGCGAAAGTTTGTTGAGGTACATGCTAGACTTCCACGAAAAGTGCTTCCGCAAATCGCCATCCTCCTTGTTTCCTGGCAGAATGACCAGTGAGGAGGAATCAGATAGGGTGATTAGAAGTACCCTGAAACGCCACAGACATGCTGCTGCCCAGTCAACGCACCTCCGGTCTATTTTGAGTGGGTTCACCGCATTTGCGATAAAACAAAATCTAAATACGATTGTCAGCAAGAATCTCAGTGCCAGGATGCTTGTGGCCTTAATGGTGCCTTGGGATTACCGAGATGACACATATTTCCGTGTTGAGGTGACAGATTCGAAGGGCGAGCAGAAACGAAAAATCTTGCAGACTACCCTTATGCGTGACGCCCTTACAGGGAAGAAGCACACGCCGAGAACTTCTCAGAAAATGCCTAAGCGTGTGTCCCAATCGCCTGCATTTGGCGCTGGTGGTCATGTTACCTTGGGAGCACGTATGCCGGCGAGGAACAAGCTTCATGGCAGTTCCCGCATAAACTCCGAAGCAGACCATGGAGGCTTCCTTCCATCCGGTGAGCATGAGGTTAGCAGGGTACTGATTCCTCAAGAAGTCGATTTCCAGTTGGAACCAGATGCAGACTCGGAACTAGCCTACGATCCAGCGGATGAGTATTGCAGGGGCGTATACGATATTGAAGATGAAATCCCAGTCCACAGGGATTTGAATGTTCTGGGAGATATGTTCGGGAACCCCACCTCACCAACCGAGAAGTTTGACTACACTGATTGCTACAAGGATGTGATGCAGATAATGAAGTCAGAGACCTACCTGAAGATTGTCGCCAATTCCGATTCCGAACACCAGTTCGAGAGGTGCTACCTTCAGTTACAGGCCACCGTCGATATTTTAAAAGTTTCCAGGCCGATTGTTGGTATCACCGGGAAGCTCCAAAAGCTAGCGTCTACCTTTACTATGGGAAAGAAGAATCATTATACGGTGTTGAAGATCACAAGCAGTGACGGTGCTAACAACAGCCTTCTTGTGGCGATAGCGATCGTCACCAAAGCGGATGATGCTACTTGGAGGTGGTTTCTTTCCCTTTTCCAGAAGATCAACCGGCTTCCACCGTCTTTTAGTATCATCGGGGACGCGGAGCCAACAGTTGTCAATGCCATGAGGGATACGTTTAGACATGCATCTGTCTACACGTGTGTGAAACACGTTGAGCAGCTTTTCCTTAAATTTGTCGACGTGAAGGCTCACGATGAAGCGCGTGACTCTATATGGCAAACGGCCCAGGAGCCCGACAGATCCATTGCTAATGGCTCCTTGATCTCCCTCCGGAGTCATGTGGAAGACCATGATATATCGGTGGGTAGCTGCTGGTACTATTTATTTCACCCGGCAGGTTTGGCAACCTGGTGCGAGGCGTACTTCCCCGCTGCCCGAGTGAATAGTAGGTTTGACATTGTCACCTCCAGCTTAAACGAAGCTTTCAACTCATATATCGACGAGGAGCGGACATACGATCTTTCCAGCACGTTGATTGGATATTTGAACACGATGACAGCCAAAGTGGCGTACTCTGTTAGTGACTTGCAGCAATGGAAGGAGACGGTGTATACAAGGTTTGCCGATACCCATCTTTCGCTAATGGAGGCTTTATCCGAGCATTTAGAGGTGACTGAGCTCGATACGGATGCTCACAGCAAGGAAGGATGCAAGGTTATCATCACGTATAACAACCAGGAAACGGTGGATGTTATGCTGAACCTTATAAAGCTTTTTGTACTGTACCACGAGGCTTTCGGGCAGACCTTGGCGTCGTACTATAACAATCTTGCCAAGTGGGATGCCTACGTGCAAGAGCATGAGGTGAATTTAGCAGAGAGAACCTGTTCGTGTGTGGCCCACCAGCGGATGGACGGACTTCCGTGCTGCCATCTCATCTGTGCATGGCTCAAATATCATAGAAAGTCGATTGAAATCGACGTGGAAACGCTCTCCCGTATCAGCACCACACCAGCAGTGGTGGGTCATACCCAGTACCAGGACCTTGTTGCTCCTTACTACTTTCGCGAGAGCTACGTTGCCGCCCTGCGGAAACTGAGGACCGGGTCGAGGCAAATAAAACACAGCCCGTTGAAGTTGCCGGTGCCAAAGCTGGAGAACGCCACAAAATTGAAGTCATTGGTTTACCAAATGCACTTGCGTCCTCCTGCAAGTTTCCCCATAATTGATGTGAAGCTCCCATGATCAGCCAACCGTTATTGCCGGTTTAATAAATCTGTGTGGTACTCCCGCCCAATACAGACGATTAGTGAGGCAGCGAGAAGTTGGCACCAAAAACTATTGCTTAAGTGACACGATGTTGTTAATTCAAGTTTACTTTAATATCGATGTTGGATGTAGAGGCATGTGCGCGGATGCGGCGATCTCTTCACGTGATTGAAACGTGCAGGATTGAACAATCAGGCGATTATGGATGAACGGAGTATGTTCCGATTCGAGCAAGACTCGGATATTCTAGAACTCGTACCACTTCCGAATATCTTAAAGAGTCGCAAAACTACATATAATAGCGGCTTAAAATACGATTGTACGTATTTTTTTTTTTCACTTCCTCTCGGACCCTCGAAACAGATCACATGCTGGCGGAGATATCAAATCGTAAACTATACGAGTAACTAGGTCAAAGGCTCTTTACCCTTTTTGAATTTCGTTATCTCAAGTCATGAAGCGCGCCCTGTAGCTCTACGATTTGGCCTGCTTGTTCTATGCAAGCTGTCTATCTCTAGTCTTAAACTGGAATACTTTATGTACGGCCAGGGTTGGCAGTCACCAAACGGTGAGACATATACGTACATGTAGTAACCAGCGGATTTACCGTATACCTCGAGACCTCAGGCCGTCTGAGTCAACGGTTTTACCACCACTCATATTTCGGGACTCACCCTTTCGCCCGGGTGTAACTGGTGAGCTAGGCCACCTGTGTTCGATCAGCTTCGGTGTTTCAGCGCCGCGCTTTAAACCGGTAATAATAACTGCGCGCTGTACCTGGATAGCCTCTGGGTCTCTCAGTTTTCCTTATCACATGACAGTCGGAACGATGACGTATGCGCCGGATGCCTTATCAAAGCCATCTTTATACTTTGGTCATGTTTTCCGCTCAATCACGTGATAACCTACGTCCCTAACAAATTTTCTCGAGTTTGTGACTGAGGGCTCAATGGGGGGCGCAACCCAGAGATTGACCTTTTTCTTCGAAGAGAATCGCTAGTCTAACCGCCCTCCAATTGGAACACACACATTTACGATTGATTTGAAAACACACGCCACCTGTTAGTCTAGTAGTTATCCGATTGGCTACCCGAACCTACTCTATTTATTCCCCACTTTTAAAGATACAATGTCACACAATTCGGCGCCGTTTAGACACCCAGGCAACATCATGGGCAACGGTGCAACTCCGGTTCCGCTGTCAGGCGCTGCTGCGCAGCGTAAGCCGTCGATTGCGGAGTTTTTGTCGTCGCCTCCACCGTTAGAGACTCCGGCGATGTTCGCAAACAACGACGAAATTTCGCACTTGAGTCTCTCGCGCAACCCGTCCATTTCGTCCCGTTCGTCCAGCAGCAGTAACTATTTCCAAGAATGGCTGGAAATCCCATTGTCGCAGTTGATTGAGAAAAACAAGTTGGTGTTTATCGACGGAGATATGTCTTTTGAGGAGGCGTTCCAGACGCTCATCACTTACAACTTGACTTCTCTCCCGATCGAGGCGCCAGCATCCAACGGCTCGAAAAACCATTGCCTCACATTCGACTACACCGACCTAAACACGTATTTGTTGATGGTTTTAAACAAGATCAAGTTCTCAGATAGCGAAAAGTGCGACTCGCAGTTCTGGTCCAATGTCGAAAAGGCCCGTAACGGCGGCCAGGTGCCGGTCAAGTTTGTCGCCGAATTGAACACCAAAATTCCGCTTTTATATTTGAACGAGCGCATGGCCAACTTGGCCAACGTGGTGGAGATCTTGGGCCTGGGGATCCACCGTATCGCTATTGTCAACGACCGAGAAAACATCACCGGGATTTTGTCCCAGAGACGTTTGATCCGCTATTTATGGGAAAACGCCCGCAAGTTCTCTGGCTTGGACGTGTTATTCCCCCAGACCCTACTGGAGTTGCTGCTCGGCTCTTCCAGTGTTGTTGCCGTCTACGAGGATGAGCCTTTGATCAACGCGCTTTTGAAGATGCACAACGAAAAAATGTCCTCGCTTGCGGTGGTCGACCGCAACTTCAACTTGATCGGTAACATTTCGGCCGTGGATGTGAAGCACGTGTCGTCTTCGAATAACTCCCACTTGTTGATTAAGTCCTGTATGAACTTCATCTCTTACATTTTAAACCAGCGCGGCTTGGAAAACGGCCAGGACATTTTCCCAATCTTCCACGTGCAGGGCAGTAGTTCCTTGGGCAGAACCATAGCCAAGTTGGTCGCCACCAAGGCCCATCGCTTGTGGATTGTCAAGCCCCACAAGAACCTTGCCGCGATTAATACCCACGTCCACAGCAACGAATCGTCGTCGTCATCCTCTGCATCATCCTCCACCGTAGCAGCCAGCACCAGGGACGTTCCGATCTCTCCAGTGCAGTCACACCATCACAAACACTCCGACCACGGCGCCGTGCAGTCGAATCCAGGCACTCCATCACCGTCCACCTCCGACTTGGATCACTTGGATGCTCTGCGTACCGGCAAGCTTGTGGGCGTGGTATCCTTGACGGATATCCTCAACTTGTATGTGGAAAAGGCCATTGGCAAGAAGATTGACCCAACTTCTGCGCGCAAACAGAGAAGAAGATCGTCCAACTCCACCGTTGGCAGCGCTGCGGGTGGTTTGGATGAGTTTAGAAGAAGCGCCAGCGGAAGCATTTCCACCGTTGATCATAATTAAGAGCGGTGGCTGTATTTTAAGTTCCTGGAGCGTTCTCCTTCTCCAATATAGCAAAGTAAAGGAATTATCGTAGTGGAATGCCTGCCTGAGTGGGGATTGGGAGCCTTTAGTCGACATTTTCGAGTCTGACTGAAGGCCTTGCAAACTGGAGTGAAGCCACCACATGGCACCAAGACATCGCTATTGTTGTAATAGGTATTTGGGTTGTGGGGATGCATTGTAGACATCTGGTTGCCAATGGCCGATTGGTTAGGGACCACGAAAACAATAGGAAATAATCGATCAAGGGGTTTGAGCCAGATAAATGTGTTTGCGTGTAACGGTCCATACGCAAATAATTCCACACTATTGGTTCGCTTCACCCTATGGCCACCCGTTCAGGCTTGATGATGTGGTCAGCAGAACAAGAAAATAAACAGTATTACCTAATTAGCTTCTGCATATGTCTCGCCGGGCTGACCGACATGGAATTGTCTGTTGGTGGTACAAACGAATTAGTGATACCTGACTGTCATTTCATCATAACCTTTTACGGAATATTTCATTGTTTGGATACCCTACAAGTCACAGATGATACAGAAAATGTCCAAGGATATTATATACCGTTGAGGTACGAGTAAAGCAACATCACATCTTATATGCTGGCCAACTTACGCTTCAAAATATTTATCTCCACGTTGATCATCGTCTCTGGGTACTCAAAACCCAACACCTTGGCCTTTTCCAAATTCTTTTCAATGAAGCTAACATTTTTAGACATTTGGTGTTTGTCATCACGGCTCAACCCCTTCTCCTCGTCAAGGGATCCCAATACCTTCGAGACTTCTAGTTGTTTCACCAAAGCTGCAAGGTAGTAAAAAATGCCCTCGTTATTGTATGGTGGCTCCAACATCAATTCCTCTAGTTTGTTGCTAGCCCGTTTCAAGTCATTTCGGAAAATCATCTGCCACACAAGACTGGTGATATACATCGGGGCATGGGTTCGGGATCCAGACGTCCACGCGGGTGCAACGGTGCACTTCTTGTATGACTGGGAAAATTGGATGATAAAGTACGAGGAAAGCCACTCTAAAAACTTTTCGTCCCGGAAGATCAGCGACGAGTATTGGTCCTTATCCAACGTATGGAGTTTGAGGCTTGTAGACGGACCCAATTCTTTCATATCGATACCCGCGTAGTCCTCAAAGAGTGGGTTATGTTCCAATTCGTGTTCCTCTCTGAGCCTGATGAGGATTTCCAAGCCCAAGGGCCAGATTCCTCGGATATTAACCTTCTTACACCTGATTAAGAGGCCAAATATTCTGTATGCGAGCTTCCAGTTTTGTCTGAGAACGTTTAAATGCAATAATTTGGACAATAGGCTTATGTGGTATGTAGTAAAGTTCACCTGGTTGGTGAAAATGGTAGTGTGGTCAGTGTCCTCTAACTTGCTATGCGAGATGGAAATGGTAGTGTGGTCAGTGTCCTCTAACTTGCTATGCGAGATGGAAATGGGGTTAATGTTTGGTAAAATTTCGAGACCCTGCGATCTAATCAAGAACTGGGCCTTGGACCACGGGGTTTCGTACAATGCTTGATCTTCAGCGTCGTCGTCATCATCGCTGGAGTCGTCGTTCCCCGATACGCTGGGGGTATCTATAGGAGTTTCAATATTCAAATTAGACCGGGAAAGCTTGATTTTCTTACCTCCGCTTTCTTTCTCGTTCATTTTTCGTTTATTGGGGTCGAATTGATCGAGCGCTACGTTAAGGTTTTCCACGGTCGGCCACACCTCGTACGTTTCTTCCGGCTTGGCATGAATTGTGTTGTCGTTTTTGATCCTGCTCCGCAAACTTCGTCTAAGTTTCGGGTCATGCTGTTGGCTCTTAGGTAATTCATTAAGTTTGTCATTGAGCTGCTTGGCTTCTGTGTACAACGCTAGGAGTTTTTCTGCTTTCTTGTGCTTATTCAGCCCTCTGAAGAGCTCGGTATTTCGGGTAGGTGTTTCAAACATAGGCCAAGATGTGACTGTATACCATCTCTTTGGGGATGTCGATAGTTAGAGGTAAGTTGGTGCGATGTGGTTTAGAAGCTTTGCAGATCAACGGAACTTTGAGCTGTAATTCGAAATATATTTTTTTCTACTGCATACAAATTTCCGTCGATATATCCTGCATCATATAGAGTGCATGGACCGGTGCAGAATATCGTTTTGGGAGGCGCCAGTGGTTTCTGTGGAATGGATTTTGACACAAGCAGAAAGTGGTTACAACAATATTCTGTTGGGCTTCTATTTAGTCAAATTTCTAATCCCTTTTTATATTTCTATTAAAGGACCCTGTAAATTATAAAAAAAAAACAAACCCACTAGGTGCTTCCTCGTTCCCAAAGTATACCGGGTTCTCATATATGCCTCCGGCCTGCATTGCTAAATGTACAACAGTGGGCATCGGATGCTTGAATTTACATAAAGTAGCATCAGAATCTCTTCATCTTGCACAAGAGCCGTTATTTCAAGAATTCTCAGACAGGTCCTATCAAGGTAAACCCTCTACCCTTTGACATACCAGAGCAGAAGTCTAAACATGAAAAGGTCGATACCAACTATTCTATTTGCCTCCACTATTGTTCTTAGAACAATGGCAGTAGACCGCTATGCCCCCGTCCTTGATTCATGTCCGGAAGGTCCGCTAATTAGAGAAGCGTTTTCACTCTCTAAGGAAGAGCAAATATGGGTAGCGGAGCGAAATCAAGCCACCAATGCTGCATTAGTAAGGTTCTTGGGTCAATCAAACTTAGAAAACCTTGACACCCATACACTCATCTATGATTCAAACACCTCCGATATAAAAATAGGGCTCGCATTTTCTGGAGGTGGGTACCGAGCCATGCTAACCGGAGCCGGCTGTCTTACCGCACTCGATGAAAGATACGAGGAAGCCATGGAGCACGGACTAGGGGGAATTTTACAATCGTCCACCTATATCAGTGGGTTATCGGGTGGTAGTTGGTTACTAGGTGCAATATTTCTCGGCAGGGATGCACCGAATATGAGAGCAATGACAGATCTTTGGAACTTTGAAGAATCCATCTTATTACCCTACGGCTACTCCGATCTTTCCAAAAATACGCAATACTGGAAGGCTATATCACAAGATATCGAGGCGAAGAAAAATGCTGGATTCCCAGTATCAATTACCGATGCTTGGGGTAGGGCCCTCTTCCTACAATTGCTGCAACAAAAGTCTGGTGATTTGAGCCAGCACGAGTATCGGCTCTTTTCGAGCTTAAGACGCCATGGTTTATTCGAGAGTTTTGCAATGCCCTTCCCTATTATAACCTCTGTTGAAATATCACCGAACACGGGAAGCTATACAAATTTTGAGTTTAACCCGTTTGAGATGGGATCGTGGAGCTCTTTACTAAACGCTTTTGTAGCTCTCCCATATCTTGGATCTAGCCTCACCAACGGGGTTCCGGTCTTCGACGACCTCTGCACACAGCAATTTGATGATTTTGGGTTTATTATGGGAACTTCCTCTTCTGTTTTTAACACCGCATTCCTGAAACTCCCAAGTGTCTTGGAAAAGCTTGGTAAAGAACCAAAGAAATGGTGGCAGATCAAATCGCATCTACGCGACGCGTTGGGTTTTCCCAACCGAAAATATGAGAAGATGAAAAGTGACCTAACAAGTGAGGTCAGACGACTCCTCGAGAAGATAGAGGGGTCGGAGCAGTGGTTAGCAATCTACCCCAATTCGTTCTTCCAAACCGATTTCGGTGTTTCAGAGGAGATACTTGGGAGCAAAAAGCTATTGCTAGCGGATGGCAGTGAGGGAGGACAGAACATTCCCCTAGCTCCTTTGATATACCCTAAACGACAAGTGGATGTAGTTTTTGCGTTTGATAGTTCTTCAAACACTAAAGAGCGTTGGCCCTCCGGAAAAGCCCTAATTCAAACATACGAAAGCCAATTTATGGTACCACCCACAAATACGTATTTTCCCCATATACCTGATGCCAATACGTTCAGTGCTTTGAATTTCACCCGCCGACCGACTTTCTTTGGTTGTTACGGTGATAGCTTGTCTGACTTGATTGACAAAGTACTGGGACAGCTTCCTCCTTTGGTGATTTACGTTCCGAATAGCCCCATCTCCTACTTATCAAACACGTCTACGTTCAAGTTGGAATACTCCGCCGAAACCAAGCGGAGAATGTTAGATAACGGGTTTGACGTGGCTTCCCGAAATCGGTTGCTGATAGACCCAGAATGGCGGGCGTGTGTGGCCTGTGCTGTAATCAGGAGAAAGCAAGAGCGGGACGGGGTCGCGGCGTCTGAACAATGTACAAGGTGTTTTGAAAGTTATTGTTGGTCAGGAGAGATTATCGAAAAGGGCGTCAGAACGAAGGATCTGGGAGCAAGAAGAAACTTCTCAGGTGGGCTGTACACGGGGTTGGCACTCGAGAAGAGGGAAAATTAAGACATATTCGCGTTTATTGCTATTCCACTTTGCATAACATCAGGCTGACGATAATTTGAACCTCCTCTCCCCTTGTATATACCCCAATTGCCCGGTATTACAATACGGAGACCGATATCACCGTAGCTAACACCCGTGTGTACCTTCTTCTTTCTTAACCTATTATACTGTGTTGTTCCAACCACTTAGATTAGGCTTTTTTTTTAAAAAAAAACCAGCATGTCACTACAAGCTTTGTCTAAGGCATTGTTGGTTCTAGGCCACAGGAAAATAGATACCATACTAGTTTATTTGGTGTATACCGCACGAGTACCTTACAGACTACAGCTGACACTATTGACATTACTCAATATTGGAAGCATATAACTAATTATAGATTAAGGTTTCCACTTGCATGAAAACTAACGTTCCTGGTTGCATATAGATTAAGATTCCTAATTACACATGGACTACTGATGACTGCTTCGCCTCCTCAGGGTCAACATGTACAACATAGACTAGGGCTATGTGGGGTTAAACCACCGCTTCTCCGAGTATACACGCATTTTACCAGCCACATCTCAATATAGAGAAAAAAGATCAAGGCTACGTGAGTCAGTACGGGAACTAAACAGAGAAAATGCCGACTCCTAAACGTCACAAGAACCCTTTAAAACACCATTCCTTTGGAGCAACGGTTTTTCTACAAGTCCAAGCCTGTGGCCGTGAGGCTAACCGCCAGAGTGTTATGTACATTCTAACATGCTAGCTAATATATCCATTTCAAGAAAAAAAAAGGGTCTGGTTGACCAGCGTAAAAATTTAAACAGACAGAGCCGTAGCCCCCACGACACGTGCATGAAGAATACGACAACGGTAATACAAGACGCTAGCACAACCTCCTGCCCCGCATCACCTCTGTGAATTCCCCAAAAGTTTACTTTAGCAGGGCCACACTAGTGTACGGGGTAGAACAAAGGAAATAGCCACTATGTAGGACTCCGTCTATATTTCACTACGACATCATTGGCCCCACTTCTGACACCAATTTTCCAACAAGGAATATTAGATGCACGATCTTGCTGCGCAAATCTCTCTCACTGCTCTATCCGGCGCTGTGCGCAGCAAACGTCCGCCTCTTCCGAACTGGTACCAGGGAACTTTCCGCGCAAAAGCTGACGTTATATAAAGTTGACGCTCCGCAGCATTTTAAGTGCCTAACCAAAGCCCCAATTGCTAATCCTTTTTACACCAAGAGCTCACAATGAATCTCAGCGCTTTAATCAAGGCCGCATTCTTCCTTACATCGACCCTTGCATGGTCACCTACCGATTCTTATGCGCCTGGCCCCATAGCATGCCCTGCCAATAACGCCTCTTTGCTCAGAAATGCCGACGGGATTTCGAGCTCTGAGGCATCATGGGTCGGAGAGAGACATAAAAACACCGATGACGCGTTAGTGCGCTTCTTGGTAAATGCAAATATGACGGACTTTGATGCCAACAACTTCGTCCACAACACGTTGAACCGTTCTATCAACATCGCCGTTGCTTTCTCCGGCGGTGGCTACAGAGCCATGTTAAACGGTGCAGGACAGCTCTCTGCTTTGGACAACCGAACCACCGGTGCTGCCGAAAACGGCTTGGGTGGTTTGATAGATGCCACCACCTACCTCACCGGGTTGTCCGGAGGTAACTGGATGGTCGGGACCTTGGCCATGAACAATTGGACCTCTGTGCAGGATATCTTGGATAACGGCACCATCTGGGACTTGGAACACTCGATGTTTGCACCAGGCGGAATCAACATCTTCAAGACTGCCAGCTATTGGAAGGAAATCTCCGATGACTTGTCCGACAAGAGAGATGCTGGCTTCAACGTGTCCTTGACCGACGCTTGGGGCCGTGCCTTGTCCCACCAATTCTTCCTGAACTATCCTAATATGGGCGCTGCGTTGACATGGTCCACCTTGAGGGACGCGGACGTGTTTTCTAACCACTCGATGCCGTTCCCAATTGTAGTGACCGACGGGAGAACGCCGGGTTCCACCATTATCGGGTCCAATTCCACCGTATTTGAGGTCTCGCCCTTTGAGTTGGGCTCCTGGGATCCCTCACTCCATTCGTTCGTTGATGTCAAGTACCTCGGGTCTGTTCTCGACAATGGCCGCCCTGTCAACTCCTCCGCGTGTATCGGTGGGTTTGACAACGCCGGGTTCATTATGGGAACTTCTTCCACCTTGTTCAACCAGTTCATCTTGCAGTTGAATACCACCGGTATCACCGGCGGGTTATATGACTTGATCCATGACTTTTTAAGCGACGTCAGTAAGGACTCCAACGACATTGCTGTCTACCGCCCAAACCCGTTCTACAAGTCCAGCTCTGCTGGTGAGGAGAGTATTGTCCAGGCCGACACTTTATACTTGGTTGACGGTGGCGAGGATTTGCAAAACGTGCCGTTATACCCATTGCTTCAGCCGGAAAGAGACGTCGATATCATTCTTGCTTTTGACAACTCTGCCGATACCAATGAGTCGTGGCCTAACGGTGCCTCCTTAGTCGCCACCTACGAGCGCCAGTTCTCCGCCCAAGGCAACGGTACCACCTTCCCGTACGTGCCGGGCCAGGACACCTTCCTTGCGTTGAACTTGACCTCCAAGCCGACTTTCTTCGGGTGCGACTCTAAGAATTTGACCACTCTCAACGCTGATGGTGTCATTCCACCATTGGTGGTTTACATGGCCAACCGTCCATTCAGCTACCACTCCAACACCTCCACCTACAAGATGTCATACAGCGAGGACGAGAAGAGAGGCGTTATCAATAACGGGTTCGAGGTGGCTACGCGCAACAACTTAACTTTGGATGCTGAGTGGGCTGCGTGTCTCGGGTGCGCTATTATCAGAAGAGGGCAGGAGAGACAGAACATCTCGCAGTCCGCCCAGTGTCAAAAATGTTTCTCTGAGTACTGCTGGGATGGCTCCCTTGTAGCCGCCGATACCGACGTCTCCCTGTTGGTCAATTTCACCTCCACGGGTCTTACCAGCGGTGCGGAGAATGCCACTGGCACTAGTAATACTACCAATGCTGCGGGTAGTGTTAAGTTTGGCGGTAGCTCCATGTGGCAGACCGTCATTTATGTTTTGGCAACCTTGGCTGTTATTTCTTTCGCCTAAGCTAAGCGAATCATTTTGCGTTTGTATGACGAACTTCGTATACACGTATAATCAAATATTAATATTGACTGCTTACAATGATGGTATCAATAAGTGCTAATGCTTGGAACACGAATATATTCATACATATTTGCATACAGATTTTGATAATTACAATGTACATGTATATTAATTTGGATATCTACGATATATATCTCGCGGTACGTTACCAGTAATATGTTCTGAATACTAGATATAAATATATACCCATATACAAGGATTTAACCACAGCTGAAGGCTACGTGTTAATGTCTTCCAGGGCATAAATATCTAAGTGTATATCCCATTAATAGTCACATGTCTTACGCAAAGACAAGACCTGATTTTCTTCCTAAACCATAAAACTCGATTAAACTCAAAATCTACCCACGATGCCGGAGAATCCTTCCAGCCGCACGATGTTACAATTTTTCACATAGAACTCATACAGGGGGAGGTACCTTTCACCTATGCTTCATTCTCACTTTTACCGCACACACAATGTCAGAAGAACCATTCACAGAAGAACAGTTGCGTGAGCTCCTCCAGACCTACAAAAACGGTCTCACAGTCTGGCAGACCGCAATCTCGAACCCCGCCGCAATTGCGGAGATCAAGGCCGCACAAGTACCGGATCCCATCGCTGAGCTTGTGAAACTCTCAAAAATCATGCATGCGTTGGCGACGAAGACCGGAATCGTGTTCAAGCCCGGTCCCGTGCCCGTAAACGCGGCGTACAAGCAGGTGCGTGAGGCATCGGAGAAAATTGTGTTGTACGTGACGCTTGTGGCGCAGCTCGACGCGGCGACGTACTCAGACATCTTCGTGAAGGAGGCGGTGCACCGTGTGAAGCAAGTGTTGCACTCGAATGAAAAGTTAGTGGTGCACTTGGAGGGGATGGACCTTGCGGCGGCACCATCGAGGGAGGTTTCAGCCGAGGAGGAGGCACAGGACGTGCGTTTAATCACCGTGGGGCTCATCTGGGCTGCATGCGACGCGGTGGTGGAGTTGTGTGAAAAGGGCAAAAAGGGGTTGTTGAACGTGAAAATCAAAGAGTCGTCGTCGATGTTGGTGGACGCCGTGCAAGAGTTGGAGGAATGGATCGAAAACCCTGACGACTTTGACGACGAGGATCCATTTGGGCTCGACCTTTCGGATGACGAGGCGTTGGTGGAGTCCGATGGTAGCGTGTCGGAGGAAGATTTGAGCGAGCTTTTGGCGTTCGCCAAGACCTGGGTTCAGAAGCTGAAACTCATCAAGCTTCTTTTCTCGTCCGTGCACAAGTCCATTCCGATAGAGAGCAAGATTACCGGTGAGCACATTAACACAATTTACAAGTACGTCACAGAAATCACCGGTAACATCGATGAGTTGGTGGTTACTGCCATGATGAACCGCGACGTCGATGAGTGCAAGAAAACCAGTGTCGAGATTACTAATGATGCCAAGAGCTTGGTCATGTTTGTGCGCAGCTTGAATTCCGGCAACTATCAGAAAACAAAGTGGGTCGACACCTGGTTGTTGAAGTTTAACGAATAAGGAGTTCGTTGATAGCGCCCGAAATGAATTTATATTTGTGTATGGGTGCATCACCGATAAGGTCGCTCATTTGGCTGGCAAATTTAGGTGATGGGTAATCACTGTATTGTACATATTTTAGGTAATACGGAAGTGGTGACACCGAAAATGAACCACTTTACATATGGTGGACGGGTAATTTTTGTGCATTAAGGGTCGCACTGTATACACGTCTAAACCTTAGAATGTCTGATTACCATCCGCAATATACAGCCCTTGATTAATATTTTCCGGATCTACTCCTCCTCCTTTTCATGTTGCCCGGTAACCAATATAACTTCGGGTGCAATGCAAAAATGCCCCACCATTTACTTCAATTGGAAAAGTCAAAGATCATGTTGGATTGGGAGTAGGGGATCTGCCTTGGGCTGAGTTTCCAGGCCAAAAAACAGAGATCCGAAGGCTGCTGCATCGCAGATTTCGACCAGAACCAAGATTCAGCATAATCTACAATCTAGACCAGACCCACCACAGTCAAATGCATGTAAATTCGTTAAATAATAAATGTAGTGTAGAATAGACTTTTTGTAATACACTCATTTCCGTTGAAACTACGACTCACAAACGCTCCTGTCATCTACAAAACTCTTACCAATCATCACCATCGTCTTCGTCGTCGCTATGACCCAACTTCTCCTTGCGCTTGTTCAAGGCAAGGGAAAGCGCATCGGCCAAGTTTGGCGGTCCGCCGGATGGAGCGCTTGCCGCGATCGTTGGCGTTTCGCCCTTGGCCTCCTGGAGTAAAATACTCGGTTTGTCAAGCTGAGACTTGTCGATCTTCCGCAAGCCGCTCAAACCGGACCCTCTGATTGACGCGAGAAGTGCATTGCGGTCACCATCCACCTGAGGTAAAGGCGGAGCAGCGGCCTGAGTCTGAGCCGCAGTCGGCATGCCTCCCATAGGAGGTGGCGGTGGAATCCCACCCATAGGAGGTGGCGGTGGAATCCCACCCATAGGAGGAGGTGGTGGGACCCCAGTATTCATTGGCGGCGGCGGAGGAGGAGGAGCCCCAGAATTCATTAATGGTGGCGGAGGAGGAGCCCCAGTACTCATTAACGGTGGATTAGCGTTCGATGGGGGAATTTGAGGTGGCGGATGCTGGATCGGAGCAGCTGCCGGAACAGTTCTTTGCGGCGGTGGTGGCGGAACATACGCCTGTTGAACTTGCTGAGGAATCTGGGATTGTGGAGGTATTTGCTGAAACTGCTGGGCTTGAGGTTGGACCTGAGGGGCACCTGGAAGAGGCCTAGTACTTCTAGATGGCGGTGGAGGGGGCGCCTGACCTCTCGCTCTCGGCGGTGGAGGTGGAGGACCTCCTCTGACAGGCGGGTTGGCAAACTGGGGCGGTCCCAGAAGCGGAACACCTCTAGGAGGTAAACTTGGACCAGTAGAGGTACGCATCGGTGGCGGTGGAGGTGGAGGCCCACCTCTAGCCGGTGGAGGTGGCGGCAAACCGGCTCTGACAGGTGCAGACGGAGCCTGGTGGAAATTCGAAGCGGGTGGATAGGTATTCGCATTCGCCTGCGGCTGGGGAGGAAGGGGTTTTTGGAAATTCATCGGAGGGGGAGCACGGAACGTCGGCTTGACATGAACTTGTTCAGGAGTAGCAGCATCCTCGCTTTCGGGAGCTGATGGAGATGACGATGGAAGCACCGGCGTGGACGGCGCGGAAACGGTTGGGGATGCGGAGGCAACTGGGGACGCGGCAGCAACTGGGGAAGCGGAAGCACCAGGTGGAGGTGGGGGTGGAGGCGGTGCCTTTTTCGTCTTAGCCACCAGACTATCATCCTGACTAGCGGCGTGACTGGCTTTCAGACTGATCCGCTCGTGCTTGACTTGGAATTTCCGCGGAATGGGTGGCTCCAACCCTACCAAGGGGCCACCCTTGGAGTTGATGTATTCTTTGATAAATTCACGGTTGTCGGCAATCATATCCTCAGAAATGCCCGCAGCCGCAAGCTCCTCGTACAACGCACGCCACTCCTCGGGTGGTTTGTCGTTGTAGTAGAGCACACCGCGCACGCGCCGCACACGCTGCGCGGAGCTCGTGTCATGATACTCGCCGCGCGGTCCGACGACTTTCTCCGCAACAACGCTTTTTTTCAATGCAATTGCGTTCTTATTCCCAACCGTCTTTTTGCTCCCGTACTTTTCGCGGTTCGTGACACGTTTATAGAAGTGCGCCGCGTCGCTGGAGTCTTCGAACAAGAGCCCTGCGAAACACTCCTCGAGTTCAAACGTGTGGAAAAACGCACGGTCCTGGTTGTACGCGAAGTTGACGTAAAGCTCCTGGTCCCACATGACCCCACGGCTGCCGATGATGTCTACCATTTTGAGGAAAAACGTGTTCCCCACGAGATCGTCCATGAGCACAATGGCGCCAGAGAGACCTGTGAACTGCCACTCGTCGCCGGGATACGCAATATAAAGTCGCGCGACCGTCGCGTCGATGATTTTGTTTGTCGCTTTGGGCGTCACGCGCTTGATTTTGTCCTTATCCTGGGCGCTGATAATGGTCATTGGGGAAACGTGGGAGGAATGTTGGGTGGTAGAGCCAAGGAAGGAACAGAGGCTGATATCGGGCGCTAAGAGCCAGGGAGGGGCGGAGCGCGCACGACCTGCACAGCTGATGAAGAATTGGTGGTGGAGAGGAGAGCGGGATAATCAGATGTAAGCATTTTTGATTTTAACAAAACGGGTATGGACTATTATGGAAACTATTGAAACGGCCAGGCTATGCGATGAGATGTTGGGGCGGCTACGTGTTGGCAGGGGGTACAGCTTGAAGTATGTATCACTTTATTCAGTTATACATCAGAAAGGAGCCATAGAGAATGATTAGAAAATAGATACGGAATCTTCGATCAAAGTTGCCTTTTTAATGAATTTTAGAGTCAATTTATGGAGAACCAATGCTTATTAGGAGTGGAATCGGGTTTGCTTAGAGTGCATGGAATGGCTGATTGCAGCTCGATAAGATCACTGGTATACAAGCGATTTACCTGACGTGCTGGTTATTTAAGGGTGCCGCGGACGAAAGCCGAGAAGGAGAGATATGGAATGGAAACTAATCCACATTCTTTGCTTATCGGTTTTTTCAAGGGTACCTACACTTGAACTTTAGCTGACCTGATATGGAGTTGAGAAAGGGGGTGTTTATATACGCATCTTATTGTTACAATTTGTAAATTTACTAGAAGAAAAATTAAATAATAGGTTACATAGAATAGCATATTCTTTCGTAATGCTATTATATTAACGGTGAGGCAGCATGGAATAAAAAACCCTAAGCCATTATTGGAGGTTCCGCTCCTTGCCTCAGGCCTATCTCCTGTCTAACGAAAATGGTTTGGAATATCCGGCACGTTCTTACGACAAGGCGCAAATTTTTACTTTATGTAACGCGCAATCAATTTCGGCTTACTTAGACCTTATTATCTATATACCAATTACAATATGTCCGGTCGTCAAGGTGGTAAAGCTAAGCCGTTAAAGGCTCCAAAGAAGAAGGCACAAGAATTCGGTGACGAAGACTTAGCCTTCAAGGCCAAGCAGAAGGCCGACGCCCAAGCCAAGAAGGAAATGGCTGAAAAGGCCAAGAAGGGTGGCCCAATGGGTGGCAGTGGTATCAAGAAGTCTGGTAAGAAATAAAGGCTGTCGTTCTTGTTGTGTCGGCTAGAGGGCTAGCACAGCCCAGACGTTACAACGGTTTCGCCATGTATACACATTAATGAAAAAAAAGCTCTGCTTCGGGGTTTGAAAGAGTCATACCGTAGGATCAGTAGAAGTGGGCGCTGTTTGTCGGTCGATGGTCGAGGCTTACACCAAATATAGCGATTAGCATAAGTTCAGCGCTTGGAGATCTGAATAACAGCTAGGGCAGACACAGTGGAATAAACTATTAAGCTTCCTACAGGTATGGAAAGGGACGTTGTAACATATCGTTTATACTCCTGGCGTGAACTTTCATTAGCATAGTCTCTATTGGGGGTCTAAAAGGTGGCCAAAGTGCTAGTTATACATGGTGAACATCACCTGACTACTTGGAGACACATCACTGATATACACCTCTTAGACTCCCGCTGTGCTCGAAGCAAATTACTCCCTACGTTAGTAAATGGGTGAAACGACCTTTTAAGTACCAAATTTAAAGCAGAACAAACAATTATCTTTCTAAGCAGAAACCAAAGGTAAACTTGTAGCACAAGTTCTACATATTGTATGTAGATGGTTATGGGCGTTATCGTACCTGAATCGCTTGAAGATTGATCGCCAAACCAATAGTCCTGGTTCTAAGTGATGGTTTTAAATGACGTCAACACTTGCCTCTACAGCTCTTAGTACCACATAAGCTCAAACCTCCAGGGGCTTAAAATCTACTCAACCATAGATCAACGGTGAACTATGAATTTATGAGTTTCTCTAAACGTTGGCGTGTAGTTTGCTTAATGGCATGAAATGTGCGGAGTGAGTTGTCATTGTCTGCAACTGTACTGATATTTGAAACGGCGAAACTTGATGAACCTTATAATTTTTGCAGATATACCTTTACTAGGTGTCAGAGTTATATAAAAAGGACCTCAAACTGCCTAAAACAGCCTGGAATAATTGTTTATATCCTAAACCAATTTCTTCCCTAGCCGAATCCCCACAATCTAACGATTCAATTTATCCTGCGCCTCGGCGCTAGATTGATAACCCTCGCGTGCTTGCATTAACATTATCTTGCTGTTTGAAATGATTAGACCTCATAGGTGCTCAAATCGCTCCCCAAAGTTCTTATCGGCCAGTGGTTCATCAATTTCTAAACCGAAATATGCTTTTGTTAGATCTCAAATACGAAAACCTGATTTTATTGATTTCCCAGAAAAGCAAACCTTGGTGCCTCTAATGTGACAGGTCGCATTTCGGCGGACGGGTAACCCAACGCGTGCCTGCATTTGTTTTTGTTGTTATGGCAAACAAGTCGAAGCATATATCACGGGTCCATTTTTTGATCAATTCACACACCACCACCGTAATATACCTAGATATATCCGAAAAAATGTTATCCCTTGCCCGTAGAACCGTTTCAATTGTTCGTTCTAACACCTTTACCGCTTCCTTTTCTGTCAGCACTGTCAACAGTGCAGCCGCCGCCACCAAGGCTCGTGCTGCCAAGGCCACCACCACCAAGTCTCGTGCCGTTAAGGCTGATGCCACTGCCAAGTCCAAAAAGCCATTGAAGCAAAAGACTGCCAGTGCTACCGAAAAGGCCATTACTGCCGAACGCGAAAAGCGCGCCAAGGCTGTTGCTGCGAAGGCAAAGGCTGTTGCTGCTGAAAAGCAAAAGAAAGAGAAAGCCGCCGTGAAGAAGGCTGCTGCGAAGCTCCATGAACAAATCTACACCTTCAAGAGACCCCTGAACCCCAACGCGATCTTTATCGGCGAAAGGCTCAAGAACCGTGCTGCGGGGGCCAGAGTCCAGGATGTGTTCCGCGCCGCTTCTGAGGAATGGAAGGAGTTGACTGACGCCCAAAAGCAGCCATTCCAAGACAAGTATGCTATCCAAAAGGTGAAGTACGACCAACAAGTTGCCAGCGTGCCCAAGAGACCTGTTACCGACTTTGCGAAGTACGTCCAGCAGAACTACTCCACGGTCAAGCTCGACCATCCAGCCGAAGAAAAGGCCTCCAACCTCTTGAAGAAATTGGCTGAAGGTTGGAGAGCGTTGTCTGTAGCTGAGAAGGAATCCTACAAGGCTTCCAAGCACGAATTCGACGCTTACCATGCTGCCAAGGAGAGGTTTGAAGCCTCCAGAAAGATTGAAATTGGTGCTTAAAGAGTGGAATAGACTTTACGATGGTACTATAACTACCATGTTAAAATCTCAAGTAGATGCTGCTACGATTATTGCCTTTTTATTTCTTACTTTTTCCCTGCACTAAATGTGTGGTGCTAATATTATGATGTTATATTTTTACTTTTTTCGATAGCATAGATCGATTTCCCGTAGGAAATCAGGGGTTTAATGTTAATGCTTATCACAATAAAGAGACCAGGCGGCTAGGTTATGTAGGATATAGCAAGTGAGGATCTGGATGATAATTGCCTATTCGTCACTGTTTCAGTAGGGTGCACGGTTAAAGAACCAGTCTATTCATGGCGTTAATGACCCAAATAAAAAAAATTCTGAAACTGACCAACTACGGTACCACTCCTAATCGATGCCACGTATTTTCTAGTTAAAAGAAAACATACAAACCAACAAGTAATACCGACCCTGAGTCCTACTCAGCAGGGTAACCTGCAACCTGCGGCTTGTGATATCTGCGGCTTGTGATATTTTGCATACGTCTCCATGGTTTCTATATCTCTACGTCACGAGAAGTCACCTACAAGACATATAGAGCTTCATATAATCATTTTACCCGTCTATTATGCTTTTAGTCATACGCAGAGCTGTTATAACCAGCCCTATACCTGCCATCCGTGCGCTATCCTTTACATTCCTTTGCGACGCTAAAGCTCCAGAGGAGGTAGCGGTAAAACCGTTAAAGTACAAGCACAGACTCAGGGCCGAAAAGAAGGAAAAATCACACCAGATCTACTTGGAAAAGCAAGAGAAGAAACGATCCCAGGAAGCTGTCAGGGAACAAGCTCGTCAAGAGGCCCAGACCGCCAAAGACGCCGCGAAGGCTATCCACGACAAGTATTACACATTCCCAAAGCCTAGCACCCCCGCCAGCTATTTCATCGCAGAAAAGGTAATTTCCCGGGATGAAGGCATCAAAGCCAACGAGGTGCAGGTCCTGGCGTCTAGAGAGTGGAAGACAATGGGCGATAAGGCCAGGCAGCCGTACATCATCCATGCGAACACGATGAAGGCAGAGTGGGTGCGCAACATGGCGCGGATTCCAAGACTTCCTGCCACCATGTTTGCCAAATATGTCAAGGAGAGCTCGATAGAGTTTACGGGGTCAGCGCTGAGCAGTGAAGTCATGAAGAAGTTAACGGAACGTTGGAGAAAGATGCCAGAAATGGAAAAGGAGTTGTACAGAGCCCCCCAGCATGAAATGGATGCCGCTTTAGAAGCAAGAGAGATTTTTGAGGCCGAGAGAAGAAAGGAACTAGGCGAGTAATGATCATATCAAAAGCCAAGCCGAATCTTGTATATATAACAGTTAGCATCGTCCTACCAATCCATCCAAAAGGCTAGATAATTGTAAAAAGGATGGTCATATTTCGCCAATACGAGGCTTCTGTACGGCACTACCAATGTAACTACCAATTTTATGACGCATCCTACTCTTAGTTTACGGTGATTACAGGGGCTTTTTGTCGCCAAAAAATACACAATTCGTTTTAAATTCATAATATACAGCTAGACTCAAGCAGTCTTGGACTTCTTTTTCTTACTTTTCTTGGCCTTGACTTTCTGGTCCTCCTCTCCCGCATCAGCTTCGACTCCCTTGACAGCCGGGTCAACAGTGTCCTCCTCGGTAATGAAATCATTCACTTCGACGGACTCCACAACTAAATTTCTCTGGACATCCTTTTCTTCAGCCTCGGTAGTCTCTATAGTTTCAGTTTTCTGAGCTTCAGCGGTATGCCCGGCCTTCTCATCTTCTTCAAGCATGTCATCAATCCCCTTGAGGAAAAAGTCTTCACCGGACATGGCCTTGAACATTTCTCTCGCCTTGACTGCCCAGTCAAAGGTTGGTGGTTCTTCCTTAGGTTTCTCCTTCTTAGCTGGCGACTTTTTTACGGTCGTGACATCCTTCTTTTCGGCTGGGGCTTGGTCATTTTCTTCTGGTCCCTCTTCCCTTGGCTCCTCGAGTAATTTTTCGGTGTCTTCTGCGAGCCTATTCCATTTTTCCAATTCAATCTTGAGATCACTGACCACACGGTCCTTGGACCCACCCTGCAAACCCTGCAAGTACTCTTTCAAGGCTTCGTCATACTGTTCAGGTATACTTTTCATGTTCTTCAACACCCAGTTTTGCTTCTGCTTTGAGAACTTCCAATTATCCTTATCCTCCTTGTACTGTCTCAAGTAGACCAACTGGTCTTTCTCCGGAGGTGGGGCTCTCTCGGCCTTTGGAAGTTTAACTCTCTTGGCTGACTTCTTAGGACTAGCATTACCTTCGGCGTCCAATTCAGTGGCTGCGATGGTTCTCTTTCTCTGCTGGATTAGCTTTTTAGCTTGCTTGGTGCTTACCTCAGTGCTATCGATATGGGTGGAGAGGGCAAGGGGATCTTCACTCAAGACTTGCTTGACTTTCAAACCAATACGCTTCCAGACCGGGATATGTGCGGACATCTTGTGCTGGGTGAGATTGATTAAAGGGTTTGAGGCCAACTCCGGCTCCCGTATCTGATATACCTAAACCTGCACGCCGTACATGGGAAAAAATAATTTTTCGGAGCTTACCCGGCGCGATGAGCATCGCACGAACATGGGCAAATTTCGCAGCGTCCGAAAAACTATTTAAGCGACCAGATGCCCACATTTGTGTGCAAAATAATATTCTTTGTTTCTATTGTCCACCTAAAGGGCTAGGCACTACAAATACACGTTCCCAATATCTGCTTCCAAGTATCTGTCTTGCTGTAGAGTGTATAGTTATATATGGCATGCCGGTGTGTCATTGGGGTTTATCCCTGATGACAAAACATCCGTCGATTTGTTCTCCATAATCGAGGGTTGATACATACGCTGAGCTATAGTGAATAGTGCATGGTTTGAGTCCGACGTGAGCTTGCTAAGTGCAACACTTGCGTTGGATATAGAGATTGACACACATTTCTTATATTTTCTCCTCAATTTTATAGGCCTCTGAGTACTTGAAGTGAGATTTTGAAGTTACGTGAGAGGTATATATCTATAGCGCTGGTACGAAGATATTCTATACCATTTCAACGGATAGAATATTTACAGTTTAACTTTTAAGCATCAATAACTCAGTTGCGATATTCACGCGGAGCTCACCACCGTACAAGGCCATAAATCTGCCTCCAAACATTTTGATAAATCCTGCTCGCAATAAAAGGTGCGTGCATTACTACCAAAACCTACCCCAGAAATCCATATCTATAGCTTTATCGCCATGTACAAGAGAAAGCTGTTGATTAATTTCCTAACTATCCAAGATATCTCAGTTTCAAACCACCTAGCTTTCTAAGTGAGTTTTAATTTCTTGTCTTGGAAGTTCCTTTCATTCATCCATTATACGAGATATCCAGAATTTTGTTACCGAGCCCAATACTTTAGAGACCCCTTCACCCTTTACGGAAGATGCCCTCCCACCTTTTACGGAAGATGCCCCAACACCAAATATTCCGGGATGTCACTTTTTACATCGTCCCCAAAACCAACTCCAAGCTTTTGGTACATCGCAAGGAAATCTTCAAACGGCACGGTGCTACTTTGCGGTACAGTATTCCCCTGGAAAGTAACCGTAGGAACGGAACAAAAATAACTAACATAGTGGTTGTGCTAGACGAAAAGCTCAAGAAGGAAGAGATTCTCCGTGATCTACAGATGGAGCTGTCGACGTTACTTCTTCCCGTGGTCAATTCCGCTTGGGTCAGCGAAGGTATAGAGAAGAACACCATTCTTCCTGTCGATGGATATGAGATATTCCTTTCCCCCAAGATACCGAATAAAAGAACCCTTAAAAGAAATGCGCAAGATGAGAATGACCAAAAAAAGACGAAGCTAGAGAGCCAGAACAAGTTAGAGAGCCAGGAAAAGCCAGAGGTGCCACCTAACCAGCGAATCCTTCACTTTCTCAAGTTGATGTCAGACGAATACGAGAAGACTAATCAAACTTGGAAAAGCCAGTCGTACCGCAAAGCCATTGAAAGCATAAAAAATACCGCTTTCAATATCCGAACGTACGAGCAGGCGATTAAGCTTCCCCACGTAGGAAAGAGTCTTGCGTCCAAAATCGTGGAAATCCTCCAAACCAACAGCCTCAAGCAGTTACAGACTGTCCAAAGAGACCCCAAGCTCATTGTATTGGCTATCTTTGAAAAAATCTTCGGTGTGGGGACCCATACAGCTGAGAAGTGGTACTACGAGGGGCTCAGAACGTTGGAAGATGTCAAGGCAGAAAAATATATGGGGTTGTCTGATCTGCAGAAGTATGGCCTTCAGTACTATGATGACTGGAGCCAGCGGATCCCGCGAGTTGAAGGAGAAAAACATGACCAATACGTCCGTATGGCCTGCCACAAAATTGACCCCCAGGCGGAAGTGCATATAATGGGCAGCTACCGCAGAGGGGCCGCGACGATGGGTGATATCGACTTTATTATCACCAAAAAAGAAACCAAAATACTTGAATTAAAAGGCATTTTAAGACGGTTGGTAGCAGATTTGGAGAAGTCGGGCTATATCAAGTGCCAACTCCGCGGCGTGGAAAAGAGAGGAGAGATTAAGAGCAAGCTCTTCTGTGGGGCTCAGCTTGCAAACTATCCCTTTTGTCGCCGCGTGGACTTCCTTGTTGTGCCAAGTGATGAAATAGGAGCTGCGTTCTTGTATTTCACCGGAAATACCACCTTCAACCGGCACATGCGACAGAGGGCGATAGACATGGGGTTAAAATTGAGCAATAGCGGGCTATACAGGGTGGAGGATTCTGGAGATCCCAACACACCAAGAGAGGTGCTTTTGGAGAGCAAGGACGAGCGGACTATCTTTAAATTGTTGAACATGGAGTGGCGCGATCCAGTTGAGCGAAACTTCGGGGGTTTCGAGGAGGAAGGCAAAAGCGTAAAGGCAGCTGGAGATTTCTAGACATCGTCTTGGAATACTTTGCAATTGGCTTCTGGGATGAACTCCTTGTTTAACGCGTAATAATAGCTTTATTTTACCTGGAACCGCAAGAAAGAAGCTCCCATAACTGACTAATTTTACAGTTATACACAACTAGGTACGGCGAAGACTAATATATAGCAGTGGACCTCATTACAATTTAAAGCTACTCCTGGCAATACCAAATGTATCGCTAATAGTAAATAATTTAAAGATTTATATGTATGGCTAACAAAAATGAGGACCAGCCATTTATAATTGGTCCTTTCTGGTTTCATCTGGCTTCAAGGTTGGGAATAACAAAACTTCTCTGATGGTGTTAGAGTTGGTCATGAACATGGCCAATCTGTCGATACCACAACCCCACCCACCGGTGGGTGGCAAACCGTATTCCAAAGCGTTACAGAAGGTCTCATCAATCATCTGGGCCTCGTCGTCACCAGCATCCTTCTGCTTGGCCTGCTCCTCGAATCTCTCTCTCTGGTCAAATGGATCGTTCAACTCAGTGTAGGCGTTACAGATTTCCTTGGTGCCAACAAAGACCTCGAATCTTTCACACAAACCTGGAATATCTCTGTGGTACTTGGCCAATGGAGACATCATCTGTGGGTGACCGAAGATGAAGGTTGGGTTGATACAAGCACTTTCCAAGTACTCACCGACAAGCTTATCCAACATTCTGGCGTTAGTCAATGGCGGAGAGCAGTCCAACTTGTTCTTGATGAGAATGTTCTTCAAGAAGACGTTGGTTTCCAGGGTGTGCAACTGGTCACCAGGTGGGAACTTGACATCCAAGATCTTCTCCAATTCTTCGATCATGTCAACTCTCTTCCATGGACGCGAGAAGTCTAACTCCATGGCAGGCTTTTCTGGGCCGTCCGCATGGTAGGTGACCTTGTAGTCACCGGTGACTTCCTTGACCATTTCGGAGAACAACAACTCGGTCATATCCATCAAGTCGTAGACATCGGCGTAGGCCTGGTAGAATTCACAGGTGGTAAACTCTGGGTTGTGGGTCATGTCAATACCCTCATTTCTGAACTGTCTACCGATTTCATAGACTCTGTCCATACCACCGACAACCAACTCCTTAAGGAACAATTCTGGGGCGATTCTCATGAACATGTCCAAGTTGAGGTCGTTGTGGTGGGTAATGAAAGGCTTGGCAGTAGCACCACCGGCGATGGCGTTCATCATTGGGGTCTCAACCTCGATAAAGTCTCTGCTGTCAAAGAACTTTCTGATGTAGGTGATGATCTTGGATCTGGTGATGAACTTGGATCTGGTCTGGTCGTTCATGATCAAGTCCAAGTAACGTTTACGGTATCTGGCTTCTTGATCCTTGAATCCATAGTGCTCGGTTGGCAACATGTGCAAACATGGCGTCAAGAGCTGGACAGTGGTGGCGAAAATCGACAATTCACCCTCACCACCCTTCGCTGGCTGGGTCTTACCTGGGTAACCAGTGATACCAATGATGTCACCTCTTCTCAACAACTCGTGCTGCTGCTCGTAGGTCCCATCGGTAACGTCCTGGGCTTGGGCCATGATCTGGACCTGCACACCGTCGGACTTCAAGACGTAGAACTTCAACTTGGAACCAGCTTCTCTCTTGGTCATGATTCTACCAGCAACGCTGACAGTGACGTCTGGGAGGGTTTCACCTCTGCCCAAGTGTGCGTAGGCCTTGGCAAACGCTGGCACAGACAAGCTGACATTGAACTTGTGTGGGTATGGGTTGATACCGGCGTGCTTGTTGCTTCTTAACTGGTCGATCTGGCGGGATCTGATCTCAAAGTATTGGTTTGGAGACAAGTCAGCCATTTCGTCCTTCTTCTTGGTGACCTTTGGCGCGGTGAGAGCAGCCTTGGCCGCCTTCTCGGCCTTCTTGGCCTCGTTGATACGGGCCTTCGTTCTCTTCTTCAATTCGGTCTTGGAGACCATTTCACCGGTAGTATCGTCCAAGTACAACTTGGCGACTTCGTCAGCAACCTGATTCACTTCGGCGGTAGACATGTTGATGATTGGGGATAGGGAAGAGTGTCAAGACGCGGCTAGAGGTTTTTTATGTAGGTGAAAATTTTGGTTCATGGAGGACTTTTTCAAGTAACGTGACCGGGTAACAGGAATGCTAGTTACTCCCATGAAAGCAGGGAGCAGGTTCGCGAAATGGGTGAGTCATGTGGACTGCGAAAACCAGGGCTGGCCTGGTAGTCTGAGGGAGCAAAGCAATAGGATGATATTTTTTTTTTTTGGTTTCGATTTGATATTAGGTAGTGTTCAAGTTGTTTAAAATTACTCTTTCCATACACTGGATACAAATGCTCAGAGTTTAATAGCCGTGTCCATGTTTTTTTGTCGTTTGTACTGAGCGTGGGTATGCAGGGTGAGAGCCTATTAAGTGATCTGCTTCGAACCACTGGTTATCAGCATTTGCTGGATTCAGCTTGCAAAGTGCGGAGTAATAGGGTAATATTTTTATGTGTAAACGATTCCGCACCAGAATATATTAAGTTAAACAGCCAATCATACTGTTACGAACCTTTTCAAGGTTTAGTTATGGGCCTGAGTTTCTCAAACACTAGTGTGCTCATCGTCCAGGGGTTTGGAATAATTTCCAACGTAGTTCTGCCACTAAGCATCTGAATCGTAAATCTCCGAACTCGCATTGAAGGTACAGTTCAAATCATAATTATTGTCTTTGATACTGCCATAGCAGATTTATTTCGCATACAGTATAAATAGGCTTAAAACAAAAGATATGATATTCTATTTACAAGACGAAAAGTGAATCCCCAACCGCAAAAACTCTCAACTCAAGAATATCCTTATAAAAGCCAGACACCGCTAAATATTGAACACCATAACCTTGGCCAATCTTTTGGAGATGTCCAATACTATCTGAAGTATCGCATCCTCAACACAATAAGAAGGTACGCTACAATGCGGTAGGCCACCAAACATACCGTCAAGGCACCCAAGTAAGCGCCCCAAGGCGATTTTAGCCCATAATAGTCCAATACCGCATCTCCAGTGTTGAGTAAGCAGTCTGTGACGTCGTCACCGCATTCAAACCTAGCTCCCTGAAAGCCAAGCGTTGCAATGCTACCGGCAAGATATTTCCCAGGGTTGATCCAGTTCCAGGCCCGGAAGAACGGTGGCATGTGGAGCGACATGGTACCACCCATAAAGATCCCGATGATGAGCACCGCTGTTAACATGTTCAATGCTATCCCTTGGTGGGCAAACACAGTGTTGAAGAAAATCCCCAAGGACTCACCGCAGTTGCACAAGACGAACGTCGAATAAAAGACAGTAAAGTACATACTTGCATCACGAGGCAATCCACAAACAAGCACCATGAACACCGAGAAGAAGAGAGTACCGAAGATCTCGTATGGCACCTCCTGGACAAAGTAGGAGAGCATGAATGTCAACGGGCCATAAATGTTGTCATCATACTCCGCATAGAAGGTGTTGCGTTCTGCTGGGTAGCATGCAACGTTGTTCAAGAAACCCAAGAAGATAAAGTTCATACCCTCTTGGATCAACCCCAAGCGATTGGCAATCCCAGACGCGTCATTCTTCAATGGTGCAAAGTACAACGCGATGAGGATAGAGAATGCAATAGTTTGGAACACCTTACTGATGAGGATGTCGGAACAACGCCAGACAGAGATTATGGACCTCTTGCAAATTACCAGAAACGTTATGAAGAACAGGGCTTGCGATTTGGTTCTCATTCCGTACTTGGAGAACAATACCGCACTATCGACGTAACTGTTCTCAATAGAGGTCGGAGAAGCGGAGCCCCTGTTGGTGGAACCAATCTCGTCAGTACAGCTCAAATCCACAGATGTCTTCTTACCAGTGATGTTATCGCCCATTGTCTTCCACTTCGAAATCAAGGTATCGATCCTGGATTGTGCCATTTCTATCGTCTCACCGTGCCCGCGAGTCACCACATCAAGAATAAAGTCAGATACGTTGGTAAATGGAGGAGGTACAAACTCCATCAGCCTGAAGTGAGCAACAAGCAGCGCCGGTAAACCGTTAAACACCACGAAACCACCTCTGGCAAGGAGTAACACATTCCCAAACTTGTCAAACAATTCCTGCTTTGGCTGGTGGATGGTAAGCACCACAGTGGTACCGCGTGCGGCCAATTCCTGGAGCTCCATTACAATTGATGTGGCGGTCTTAGAGTCTAAACCCGAGGTTGGCTCATCCAAGAACAAGATCCGTGGATTATCCAAGATCTGGATTGCAATAGATACACGGCGCTTTTCACCACCGGAAATCCCCTTGACAAACTCAGAACCAATCCGGATACCTGCACAGTCAATCAAGCCCATACGGCGAATCAAGCTTTCCACACGCAGACAGATCTGAGAGTGAGTCAGACCAGGTAAGCGTAGTGTAGCCTGAAGAATCAAAGTTTCACGCACAGAGAGGTACGGAACAAGCATATCGTCGCTCTGGAGTACGTAGGAAGCATATTGGCCCAAATCGGAGATCTTGAGGTGGTCCACTCCGTTGATGGAGACGTCACCCAACGGGATGTACGTGGATGAGGTCCCGAGACGGTTGGCGAGCAAATTCAACAAGGTGGTCTTACCGCTACCAGACGGACCCATTATGACATTCACCTTCCCACTTTTCAAGTCGGCATTGACGTCATTGAGAAGGGAAATCGGCTCCTTCTTGGTCGCAAAACTCATCTTGAACTTTGGCTCAACCTGGAGCGAGACGTTCCGCACGTGTATGTTGATTGGGGTGACACCACCGAGCTCGTCCGATGTAACGACACCAGGTTTTTCTATTTCGTGGTCTGCAGCAGGTTCGATTTGACGTGATGGCGGTTCCTTAGACTTGCTCATCTTTACGTCTAGTGTCTTGAAGTGAAGGAGGATGGCAGCAGCGGTGTAGAAGGCAGCCACCCAGAGGAACAAGCAGATAATAGGTACTGTACGCCAACCTTGGGGATACCCCAAAGTCTTCAATGTATAGGCACCGGAGTACTCGGCCGGGCATTCAATTTCTCCACAGTCCCCCTCCCAACCGGTAAATTCGTTTGCGGTCAAGGCACCAAAGGCATACCAGAAATAGGAAATGTACTTTGTCCAGCGGACGTAGACAGGCATAGTAGAGGCGTTCACGAAGTAGCCACAGGCACAGTTCTGGAACTGGTACATCATGTTCAAGCCAAAACCAGCCTGGGAAAAGTCTCTGGATGCAGCAAACCCCAACATCCCAAGAGTCATGCTCGACAAGGCGATGAGTAGACACACCGAGAAATAAACGAAAAAGGATAGAGCGCCGATGTCAGTGCGGAGTCCGTACATGAAATAGGTCACAACGGAGAAGATGACAGATACGGCCAAGTCTTCCAACAAAAACTTGGCTAGTCTCCGGGATATAAGAAATCCGGTCACTGATACCAAGTTTTCATTCTTTTCACGGAAAAAGAAAACCCCGTCCAGGCTCCAAAGTCGTGTTGCCTCGAAAAAAAGCGGGCAAAATCCGACCACTTCGATGATGGCATACATTGATGAAGTGATACTGCGAATTCCAGCGAGGTCTGGATTCGGGCGGTAGAACATCCAGCCAAGTACAAAAGAGAGGAGTATTGCGCCACCGTTGAGTGCGAGTAAACTGTACAGATCACGATACGTGAGGAGGAAGGTCCGCTTGGTAAGAACGACAATCTCCTGATAGAGTGAAAGATTCTTCTCGTGGTGGAAGAGTGCGAGGTTGTGCCTGAACAATTCAGCAGTTTCCTGAGGAGAGAGAGATAAGGTTGATTCTGTTGTGAGGGGTACGAGAGTTTTGAATGCAGAAGATCTTGACTCAGGAGACACTTGGTGGGAATCTTGGTAGCTGAGGAGTTTCTGGGAGTGTGTTTTCCAGTAAGCTACCAAATCATTGATCCGCTGTACCGAAAGTACCTCCTCCTCAACTGTAGACGAATCCTTAACAGAGAGTTCCATCAAGTAGTCGAGTACGTTTCCGTCGGCAGGAATAGAAACCCCGATAGACTCAAAGTAGGCCAGTGAGGTGGCTAGATTGCCATAGTAGATGACACGGCCACCAGAACCTAGCAAACAGAACTCATCAATGGCATCAAGAATCTCCAAGCGTGGCTGGTGGATGGAGAGAATAACCGTCATACCGAATTTGGTCAAGTTACTCAACGTTTGAACGAGCGAGAGAGCGGATGCAGAGTCAAGACCAGTGGTAGGCTCGTCAAGGAAGAGGATAGCCGGGCGTGTGAGTAACTGGATAGCGAGCGACACGCGTCTTTGTTCGCCACCTGAGAGACTGGACTTACTGGGGTCCTTGAACGAACAGATAATGCACTGGGAGATCTTTGTCAAATTCAACTGGTCAAGCAAAAAGGCTATCAATTCCGCCTTCTCAGCCACGGCAACCGACGGCGGAAGACGCAAATCAGCCGCGTACTTGAGGGTCTCGTAGACAGTCAACCCCGGAAGAAACAAGCTAGTCTGGAGCATATACGCATGGCGGATCGCAGTCACAGCATCCGTATTAGTATTTGGCCGCACGAAATTGATCGCTCCCCCGAACTGCAAGTTCTTATTGAGCACGTTGGTACGTTGAGAGAGCACATTGAGCAACGTGGTCTTGCCGCTGCCAGAGCCGCCCATGATTGCCATGAGCTTTCCGGGGCGCAAATCGAAAGAAACATCATTAAGGATTTTGTGAGAGTACGCTGGTGAGGCCTCAGTGTCTGCCTGTTTGCGGAAACGGCGTTTAGAAAGGGCCTTTCCGACGGATACGGAGAGGTTTCGCACCGACAAGCCGAGCTGTTCGGCCTCAGGAATCGCAAGTGACTCAGAAAAGGTCATGGGGTAGCTATTCTGCTGTTTATACTCGTATAAATATAGGAGGTCTAACAAAGAGTGCTGGGTACACTATTTACAATATACTGCTTTACCATGGAAGCGCAATGAGAAACTTATATCAACGGGTCGAACTATGCGCTATTTGTTAATGCAGGTTACTTTACAGTTCGTCTGCGGCTCAACGGCATATTTTAAGGCTTGGCGGTATCGAACTGCCTAATCAGGAATACCTAAGCGTTTGGTGGATATTTTATGCGTATCCACCTTCCGCATTGGCCGATATGATCCAAGATATGACTCGCTATTAAGGCTGTGAAGAGCAAAGTTGGGTTCAGAATACCTTGGCGGTACGAAGCCTAATGCCAATGATCCACACTTACGCGCGCCGGGAAAAACGGGTAGCGTCTACTTTTCTCATCCCTTAATTCGAGGATTATCTGCCACCAGAGTTGTCTACTGACCCGCAGCCTCTATTAAGTCTTACTGGGCTAACAATATTCTCATCCAGTTTCATACGGATGCACGAGATTGCTTGTCATACTGTACGCATCTGCGACGCAGAACGGGACTTTCTGTTAATTCACCAGCGCCGCTCGTTGGGCCGTCAGGATGTACGTGCTTGGTTCTATGCAGGTGCGGGTCCAACTGCTAGCGTGCTTTCGGTGGTAAGCTTTATTTCCTTAAATCGTTCATGACAATATAACCTAGAATTTTAGTCTGTGGTTCGAGTGCAATCGTGAGGTCAATATTAGAAAGCCAGGATCATGGTATGAGTCATAACTTTGCCTACTCTCTCGTTTATTGACCTGGTCAAATAAGTATTAAACTTGGATGTATCTCAGCAGCTTGGTCTTGGCAAGTGGCATGTACAAGTCAAATGACCGAGTCACCTTAGGCTGTACCATGAGCCGCGTTTTATTTATAGTACAGATCGCTCGTAATCTTGGGGGGGG